TCCTTGAATTTTGCAGGTTGAAGATGAGGCAGTGACTCATCGAAGAAGACATTGTGAAATGGTCGCGCTATGTCGTGCATTAACAGAAGTTAGAATTCAAGGATCAATGGACCGGGTCCCGGTGGCTCAATGGTCTACGAGCTAGCCCGCCTTGTAACCGGACGGTCCGGGGTTTGAGCCCAAGGGGTGGGTACTGATGAAGAGTCCCAAACTAGGACGAAACAGGTTCTCCAGTGGTTCTCTAACTGATGTCAGCTCATGATGAGATCCTCTATGCAATCAAATTTTCTATTTATTTGTGTTTCTTAGTGTTCTGTGTTAGTTCTCTTGATTGAGACGCCTAAGAATGGAATTTTGTCTTCTAATTCTTCTTCTTTCGTGAATTCATTGTCTTCAAAATATATTGTTGATTAATTTTCGGGTACACTCCAAATAACTTCTCTTAATTATTATAAATGTTCTCTTCAACAAGGTCACCAACTAGGCTGTACATTTGTCTATTTACTTTACATGTGTGAGAAAGTTTCAGAATTATTTCCGGTCAGAGGTCAGATTATTAAAATTACTAAGTGTAATAAACAGAAGATAGGTAGTGACACTACTCTGGAAATATTTTAGGCCAAAGGTTAAATTAATAAAACCACAATGTGAAATAATCAGTAAGATCTGGTAGAAAAGAGAAAATAGGATTACAGTTACTAGAAAACTAGTCAGTTTGTATAATTACGGGTCAAGGATGTAGTAACAACAATACAGGTAGGAAGTTCGGATATAAATAGAAATTAAAAAAAACAGCAAACAAATCTAGTAATGCAGATAGGAATTAGAAACGTAAAAATAAGAGAAATAAACAGGAACGTTCGATAAGAAAAGTAATAGAGCAATCATTATTGATGGAACTGACTTTTCATGATGACCATGGTAGTGAAAACGGTTAGAGGTATTTCTTTTGAACACAGAATAGGCTTGAGTTTTGGATCGCCAGTGCCTCAGATATCCCTAGATGCCTTGATTTCATTCCCTTTGATAGGTTGGTTCGGATCTTATATATGACTTTAAAGGACTTTTCAGATGGGGCTGAATTCTCAAGATGTTCTGTTACCGAACTGTATACACCCTTGTGTCCTCCTTTTGCTAGCCATGCTGGATAGTGTTCTCGAGCGCGTTTTACAAGCGCATGTCTGGTGCGGCCAATGTACTCAGTTCCACATTGGCTAGTGAATTGGTATATGTATGTTGAAGTGGCCCAATGCGACAGCTTGTCTTTCACGTGTTGGATGAGTAGTTTTTTGCAATGAAGTGTTACTGGTTGGCTGGAAGTGAAGTATGCTTTACTGAAGGACTTTGGAAGCCGTCTACGGAGAAGTACTGCTTCGGTATCCCATTTAAATTCGAGATTAAGTATCACCATCCTTTTGGGAACGACTTCGACCTTTTCAAGCGTTTCTCTTGGTTTCAGATTCTTGTTTGTGAATCTGGGTGGGATTCCATTTTCTATCAAGTTCCCTCGGAAATTTTGTAATTCTCTATCTATTGAGTCTTCAGTGCAAATCTTCCGGATTCTTGAGGAAAGAGGGTATGCTAGGTTTCTATTTCTGCTTCGAGGCACATAGCTTTGAAATTTAATAAACTGTCCATTCCATGTGAGCTTTCTGTAATTGGATCTTCTGAGCGAATTGTCTGCATTCCTTCGTAGTTGAACGTCGAGGAAGTGAAACATTGAGTTAGACTCAACTTCCAGAGTGAAGTCAATGTTCGGGTGAGTGTTATTGAAGATTTCAACTGGGTTTTTTTTTAGGATACTTTCATTATTTGTGATGAGAATTGTGATCTTTATACTGTCACACTACTGTGTACTGATGAAATAATTCCACTCATATGGAATAATACTGTAATCCCATTTTTATTTGACCTATTAAATATTATAAGTCCTCAGTAGCTGGAGAAAAGACCATATTATCGTAATTCAGTGTTTCTGCTTGCCACCTCAAAGTTGCTCAAGGATAGTGTATCTGTATAAAAGGCATAAATGTTATAAATTATTAACTTATTCATTCCTTATTGTATCTTCAAGGAGGATAAATGAAGTCTTGTCGAAAGATATTAGATAGGCGAACATTTTAAACTCTAATTATGGCTTCTAAAAGGAGTTTTGTTTTTACATAAGAGTAGAACTTGAATGAATACAATGTCTTAGAATGTAATTCCATATTAGAGTATTTCATCATTTGATGTATAGAACACAGTGATACAATAGTATACCCCCAATGAATAATGCTAGTGCGTCTCTTGCCTAGTGGTAGAATACTGGCCAACCACGCAATTGGTCCTGAGTTCAATCCCCAGCTGACGCACTCCGAGACGTAGCTTACCCGGTGTTAAACGCGGTATAGAGGAAAGGTTGGGCGTGAGGATAGCAAACCAATCCCTTAAAAACACCACTGCTACCGAAACTTCAAAGCACTAGCTTGAAGCCATATATTCCACTGGAAACTGAAATCAATAAAAAATAAAAATAATTCTCTGTCGATGTGTCACCTACCTACCAAATAAAATTATCTTTGTACAGAATTCAATGCGCTTATTATTACTGTCCAAAGTTCATTAACCAAATTTGATCGTGGCAGACAAGATTAGTATCATAACATTAACAAGTCCACTACTTGGTGCGAGACACTGATTTAGCTCGTCGCAAAGTTCTAAACCCTAGTTTCCAACTTACCTATCCTCATCATCTAGACGTACTTGGAATCACAGTGGAATTCATGTTGCAGAAGAGGTTCCAGTGAATAATAATGATCATTCATTACTGACAAGAGGGTAGAAGGTGACTGCATAAAAACCTGATGATATTCAGTCATGAATTTGTAGTCAAATTAAACACACTATGATAGTAACTATACAACAGCAATATATGCAAATAGAATCTGATCGATTTAGTCGAATAACTGAGAAAAATGGATTCGAAACCATAGGAAGTCATCGTCTGGGAAGTGAGACATACTTAAAGTAAATTCTAATAAAATCACATTGTGTCACATTCAGGATTTGACTTCTATTCACTACTAGGTACAGTGCTAGAAGTAGTGTGTTTAACTTTAGCTATACACTGCCAGATAACTTTCCTTTCAGTTTAATTGGTTAATAGATTTTGTTATTTAATCCCATGCCTCTCAACTTCATTGACTTTGAAAAGGCCTTCGACAGCGTCGACCGAGTGGTCATTTGGAAACTACTTCGCATTTACAGGGTCCCATCGACAATCATACATCTCATCCAACAGCTATACGACAATGCTGCATGTTAAGTAATCCACAACGGGAAACTCACGGAATCCTTCGAAGTGAAGACGGGAGTAAGACAAGCCGGCTGATGACTATCTTCAATGATATTCCTGATTGCGGTAGACTAGATAATGTGACAAACAGTGGGCAATGAAGAGACATGCATAAAATGAACCCACACAAAATACTTGGAGGATCTGGAATTCGCCGATGATGATATATGTCTGATTTCCCACAAACTGGAAGATATGCGAGTGGAAAGCAACAAATTAGCAGAAGAAGCATTAAAGATAGGACTTCAGTTGAACATAGACACCAACATTGAACACCAACAGCCACAGCAACAACAACAGACAACAATCAGCATAAATGGGAAAGATCTGAAAGAAGCAACCTCCTTCACCTACCTACCTGGGAAGTATCGTGTCAATTACAGGCGGACAGAACTGATGAGGATGTCATCAAAGTGATGATTGGGAAAGTAAGGCGAGCTTTCATAACTCTCAAATCTGTGTGGAGGTCAACAGCACTCAGGATGAAAATGAAAATAAGATCCGGGTTATCAACTCCAATGTGAAGTCAGTGCTACTCACTAAACGGATCAGAGACTTGGCGAGTCATAAAGAGCATCTCAAACAAACTTCAGACCTTCATTAACAGCTATCTTCGCTCAATACTAAAGATCAGATTGCTGGCCAGAAAAGATCAGCAATAGGGATCTCTGGGAGCGAACCAACCAGGAACCGATTGTGGAACAAATAGGCAGGAAGAAATGGGGATGGATTGGCCATACTCTGAGGAAACCATCAATTGACATCACTAGACAATCCATTGCTCGAGTGGAACCCGAATGGTAAGTGGCGAGTTGGTCGTCAGTGCGAGGGTGACTTGGAGGAGGTCATGCGAGGAGGAGATGAAAGCATGTGGGCAGACTTGGAGCAGGGTGAAAAAGTTGGGAGAAAACCGAACGCAATGGAAACGCGCAGCTGAGGCCCTATGTTCCTCTAGGAATTAAAGGATATAATAATAATGAATTACAATTTCTATCCCTGCATCTCTAAGCCTCTTGTAATTCATATCAAGCTGAAAATAATCGTCACCTTTTATTCGCTTTTAAAATTAATTCCACAGTTATCAAATATTAATTTGTTTTTGCATACGTTGTAACTGTTTTCTAATCCTATGCAATCTTGTCTCGAAGTCCCTTATAATCTGTATTCCTACCTTCAAACTTTCATATCAAGTTGAAAATTATTGTCACCTTCGTTACTATGTAGAATTAAACAAATAAGAATGGTATCCATGTAAACTAATCTATATAAATTTGATTGTACAGCTTTGGAGAATGAAATCGCCGAAAAGATATCCTTGCTGAACTTCCTGTTCATTTCAATCTAATGTTCCAATGTTTGGAATGTATTGAGCAAATACAGTATTACACGATTCAGACAAATTACGTCTACCTATTGCTTTTTTCTAAATTCATAAACGGAACTAATTATTTAAAATTTATGATATCAGGTTAACTTTTAATTAATTCTAGGCTGGGGACAGAAAAACAAAAAAACAGTCGCGTTGAAGACCTTGTGTGTACCTACATCATGCCGGTGAATTCACTAGTCTCGAAGATCTTCAGATAACAATTTCTAATACTCTTTTCTGTCAATAAACATTTTAAATATACAAAAGTTGATCAGAAAAAGAATAAGAATTTATAATTTAAAAAAAAATGTATTTCAATGTATTATCAATCTCCTTAGTAGATACACCAGCTAAACAGAAAATATACCGTCTGTCAAGTTTTTCAATTAGCAAGTAGAGGGGAACTAAGATGGCTGTGAAAAAAGCCTGCGAATATATTTACAAATATATAAGGAAGAAAAAGGAGCATAGGGGAAAATTTACACATCTTTTTATATACACACATACTGACATACATACACATAAGGCTTGTTGTGTGTTGAAATGAAGCGTCATCCATTACTAATAGAATAAATTAATCACAAGATTGCAGGTGGAGAGTATTGGGCACATAAACTCCACGATTATGCACTCAATCATATACGCATACATACACATACTAATATACAAATAATTATGTAGATACAACTGACCAGCTTAGCTATTGGTCTCAGGGCTTAAAAAGATGGTGGGATCCAGGCATAGTTTTGAACATTGCTGGTGTTATTATAATTTTGCCCTCCTAACATAAAGGAGCTGCTTAGCACAGATTGTAAAGACGCTGGATATGATCCCGGTATAGATGATGTTGACAACGATGGAGTCGACTGTGAAATATTTCTAAATATTGGAAGATTAGGTATAAAAAATGGATACGATACAAAATTGTTTGGATTGTTACAATTATTACTACTAATAATATTGTTAGTAGGATGGCTGTTTAACACTGAATTTCCTGGAGGCAACACGACTGATGTCCCATAACACACGGGGATATTTTCAGATATGTTTGAAATATATGGATTTGATAGGTTATTTATAAACTGGTCAATTGAAGATGACCACGAAATTTGATTTCCATTGATTGTATATGTAGACGAAGCAGAAGAAGGAGAAGCATAAGGGAAAGACAATGAATGTGGTAGTTGTGTGGGCAGTCTTAGCGGTGCCTGTTGCAACGGTAATCCTGCCGGAGGTAATGAAGGATGCATAGCATTAGGAAAAGATGAACAGCCTTGATTGGTCAACTGAATTTTATTACAGTTCTGTAAAATCTGCTTAGAATTCAAATCGTTTAAGGAAGCATAATTATTACAAAATGTTGAATGGTGTTGGGGATTTGTAGTCAATCCTGACGAGTTCATATTTGAATTACGGTTGAATAGTACATCTGAAGGCAAATTAGTTGTCGAATGAATTGGAATACTTGTACGATTTGGAGTGAGATATTGAGGCAGTTGTGATGTCATTTGATTACCACACACAGAATTAGCTGGTATCATCATTGGAAATGGCTGACATTTATTATTAACAGATTGATGATTTGAAGGAATACGTTTAGTATTGAAAAGTTTAGTAGGTGGATCTGGTGCAGGCAAAGGACTGGATAAACGACTCCACATTGTAACAGGTTGTACTGAAATTATACCACAAAAAATTAAAATAAAACACGGAAAGATTGATAAAGGAAAGAATTGTGCAATCTTAATTCACTTCTTTTAGAAATAATAATTAAAAACTTATTTTCAAGAGTTGGTTTGTAAGGATTAGATTTGTTTTCATGAGTTTGACCACGGATTGACATCAGTTAGTGAACCATTGAAAACCAGCACTGGAGTACTGCAAGACAGCTGTTTCACCCTAGTCTGGGATTCATCGGTAGTACGCACCCACCACAAGGGTTCGAATCCAGGACCTACCGGTTGCAAGGCAAACTCGAACACCATTCAGCCACCGGGACCCAATTCGGTAGTCAGCCCATGAATTCTAGCTTCTATCATTGAGTCGGGTCCCGGTGGCTGAATGGTATACGAGGTTGCTTGCCTTGTAATCGGAAGGTCCCGGGTTCGAACTCCTTTGGTGGGTGCTTACTGCCGATGAATCCCAAACTAGGGCGAAACAGCTGTCTGTCAGCACTCAATTTCTGGTTTTCAATGGTTCCCTAACTGAAATTAATCCGTGGTCAAACTCGCTAAATGCAATGTTCCTAAACAGCTATATTTGTTCTCTTATAAACTTAAGGATTTTATTCTGTGAGTATTTTAAAGAAAAATCTCCTCATAATTTGTCAATAAGGTTGAATTCAAAATTCATTCATTTAATATTAATTGGAAGGAAATAAAACCATCCACATTACAGATGATGAAATTCCGTAAACTTACTTGGAGACAGATATGTAAAACTTTGATTGCAACTGGTCGAACAGATGGGATGAATGGAGGGAATGGCATTATTTGTTGAGGGTAAATTTGAGCTGACTGGCAAATTCTATAGAGAAAAAAAATGAGAAATAAAAAAAATAAAAAATAAATAACCAGATGTTAATTAAATCCAAGAAAATTTGCTTTTAGTAAAGTCGATAAGAAGATCCATCTACAAGAAATCAACACTGAAAGGACGGTTTATCAATTTTCAAAGTAGTGTGTCTCTGAGTAGAAAGAGAGACCTAATATATTCTCTTTCCTCGAGAATCCGGAAGATTTGCACTGAAGACTCAATAGATAGAGAATTACAAAATTTCCGAGGGAACTTGATAGAAAATGGATTCCCACCCAGATTCACAAACAAGAATCTGAAACCAAGAAAAACGCTTGAAAAGGTCGAAGTCGTTCCCAAAAGGATGGTGATACTTAATCTCGAATTTAAATGGGATACCGAAGCAGTACCTCTCCGTAGACGGCTTCCAAAGTCCCTCAGTAAAGCATACTTCACTGCCAGCCTACGAGTAGAACTCCATTGCAAAAAACTACTCATCCAACACGTGAAAAACAAGCTGTCGCATTGGGCCACTTCAACGTACATATACAAGTTCACTAGTTCACTAGTTCAGCGCATACTTCAATTTGAAGTATGCGCTGAAGATGTCACCCAGTAAGGTGATGAAAGCTTCGCAAACTAACTATCCAGCTCAGAGAACAAAACCACATCAAAATCACTAGCCAATGTGGAACTGAGTACATTGGCCGCACCAGACATGCGCTTGTAAAACGCGCTCGAGAACACTATCCAGCATGGCTAGCAAAAGGAGGACACAAGGGTGTATACAGTTTGGTAACAGAACATCTTGAGAATTCAGCCCCATCTGAAAAGTCCTTTAAAGTCATATATAAGATCCGAACCAACCTATCAAAGGGAATGAAATCAAGGCATCTAGGGATATCTGAGGTACTGAAGATCCCAAAACTCAAGCCAATGCTGTGTTAAAAAAAATAATAGAAATACGTTCAACGGTTGTCCTAACCATGGCCATAATGAAAAGTCAGTCCAACCAGTAATGACTACCCATCGTGGTTTGGCAAAGGACAGACAAAAACAATCCGTAGCTCGATTTTGTCACATTTAATTGATAGTGGTCATGTAGTCGAGAAAACGATAGCCTTCAAAGTAATTCATCGTATCCCACCGAATCTTTCCAATAGACTACCTATTCGTCTACTGCACACAGCTGAGGCGATAGGCATTCAAACTATTAAACCTAAACTATGCATTCAAAAGAAGTTCGTACAACTATTATCCCTCCCTTGGCCTATTAAGACATAACCAACTAATGACTTCTACACCACCCTTTGTTTATATTTTCAACCTCTTTCTTATCATCCCTTAATCTTATCACATCTGCATTAAAAATTTGTTTCATTTACTTGCCTTACAATCTAGCATTACTTCATCAGTTCATTTAATTTTACTGGCATTTATTGACTACTTCCACCTGAACATTTGTTTGCTTAATCATGCTGTTTTTTTTCATTATTCGTGTTATCATAGATTGCCTCACTTTTTTCATCCTTATTATTGATAAAACTATTATTATTATTATTACTATAATGATTAATTGCACAATTTATATTCACCATCTTATTATCCTATAGACAAAACACCATGATTGGTTTATATTTGAATTTTTATATGTAAACTTATATATATTAGAGTTAAGCTTCATGAGGTGTATCCAGCTGACGAGTCCCAAATAGGATGAAATGCGTATCATGGATTCCACTGCTAGTCACCATCCACCAATTGATGAGATCTAATTGAAAATAATATTGTTCGCTTAAATGTGTTGTTCTAAATATTACTAGATTTGTTTGCTGTTTTTTATTTTTATACATATGTCCGAACTTCCTACCTATTTCGTTATTACTACATCCTTAATCAGTAATTTGTACAAATAGTCAAACTTTTCAGTAATTATGATCTTATTATTGTCTTTATTACACTTTGTAATTTTATTAATTTGACCTTTGACCTGAAACAATCCTTGAACTTTCTCATACATTTGGATAAATAGATAGATAGATAAATACACGAATATACAGCCTAGATGTTGACTTCACCGAAAAGAAAATTTTCTTCATTGTAACCGTCTTATCGTAAAACTTAATATTCACTTTGTTCACAATGGCTGTTTACATTATACAGTCATAAAATAAAAAAGGGAGGTAGGAAAGAAACATCCCCATCAACTCTGTTGTTAGTTCAAGTGGAAAAATTCAATGAACCTCTACTAACATTGGTACAAACATTCGTTTTTAAAAATAATGACTGGAACTGACACAACAACAACAAAAAAAACATGAGATTCTCCAAGAGATACAAATCATTGCTCTTTGACTAACTAGTTTACTGAATACTAAGCTAATGTCAGTCTGTATTGGCTCATTTATTATGCGCATGTAAGGTAGACGACTGCTAGTTCTTTCAGGTATTGGTTTTGTGGGGAATTTTATTGGATTGGTTGAAGGACTTCATCATAAGCTGACATTAGTTCTTTATCGGATCAGCTGTTGGTTCAATCGGTTTTAATTTAACCTTCCTCTCTCTTGCTCAATATATATATATATATATATATATATATAACGATTAGTCACTTTATTAAGGCATTTGGAAGACAAATTTCGAGAGACGATATCGTCATTTAGTAGTTTTGTACGAAAGAGAAGTTTAGCAAAGAGACTAGAAGACACCCGAAAAGAGTCTCTTGGCTGACCGTCTTCTCTTTTTCATATGACTCAATGAGGATTTCGTAGTTTCTTTACAACCACTTTACAACTAACATGGTTCACAACAATAAAATAAAAGAATGGATGCTGAACAAAAAATACTCTTTTCGATAACTTCATCATCAGGCTCTACAGTTATATATACATCATAGTGAATCAATGAATGAATTAGTGTTATGAACAACATGAATGTTGTTTAAATAACATCGAATCAATAATATTGATAGATTACAGCTCAATAGCATCAACATAAAATAAGCTGAATGTCAGAAAAATTAGGAAAGATAATATCACAAATTCATGATTTCATAGTCTTTACTCAAGGCCAAGTCAGTAGTAGTGGCTGGACTTGCTTCTTTTGAACACAGAACACTGGTTGTTTGAAGTGAATTGCAATAACCTCTGCTGTTTGGAGCATGCGGTGTTTCGGTGATTTTGGCAATTTATTAGGCACGCGGTAGATTATAGGGAAGGATTCTTCCACGCTGTGTTGCTTTGTGGCCGCTTTGCACCAGATGGTCCAATATCGAACTGTTAATGGTTTTAACTACACCTTTACTTACCCATACCGGGAGAAGTTCTCTCTAGGAACTTGATTTCCCGTGCTCGAGAACATCTCCCAGTATGGGGAAGTAAAGGTGTAGTTAAAACCATTAACAGTTCGATATTGGACCATCTGGTGCAAAGCGGCCACAAAGCAACACAGCGTGGAAGAATCCTTCCCTATAATCTACCGCGTGCCTAATAATTTGCCAAAATCATCGAAGCACCGGATGCTCCAAACAGCACAGGCTATTGCAATTCGCTTCAAACAACCAGTGCTTTGTGTTCAAAAGAAGTAAACCCAGCCCCTTGGCCTTTAGTAGAGACTACAACTTCATGAATTTGTAATATTATCTCTCCTAATTTTTCTGACATTCAGCTTATTTTATGTTGATGCTATTGAGCTGTAATCTGTCAATATTATTGATTCGATGTTATTTAAACAGCAACATTAATGTTGTTCATAACACTAATTCATTCATTGATTCACTATGATGTATATATAACTGTAGAGCTTGATGATGAAGTTATCGAAAAGAGTACTTTTTGTTCAGTATCCATTCTTTTGAAAATAGCAGATTATACAAAAGTACACACTAATGACCAGTCATATTTATATAGATCAAATACTCAGTTCATAGAAAGCGAAGGTTGAAGTCTATTGTGTTTTGTATGCGTGGTTTAGGCTGTATCTGATTAATTCAAAGTACTTCCATCACCTTCAGTAACCTTGAATTAGAGTAATGAAGCAATCATTAATATTGATTTTGTGACCTGACATTAATAAGTGCTTTGCAGTGGATGATGACCGTGGATTTCTACTCAGATTGATTGCATTGGGATTTTCTATATGTTTTAATAACCATTTTGGAACATCTTCTTTGCGACGACATTGGAATATTTTATTGGTTCCACCTATAAAGGTATCACCATAACTGCAGGTGAATTTGTAGATACAGTTTGAAGTAGAGTTTACAGAATTTCATCCTTTAATCGTAGGTACAGGAATCGAAAATTTTCGTGTGATATGAGAGGAAGAGATGCAGTGTAGAATGTTCACTCGATGGCTGACCAAAGTCTTTTCTTGGAAGGTGAGTCCGATATTTTCTGTACATATTAAGAAAATGTCTGATGTAAGTGACAGGAATATGCAAATTTATCCCATTGCTTGTGATGTAATCGCAAATGAAATCAATAGTTTCATGAAGAGGAACATTAGTAAATAATGATTCTATGTCGATTGAGCACATAACCTTTTCCTTAATGTTCAGGGTGTCTATTTAAATATGGTTGGTCATTTGTATGTAGTTCAGTTTTATTTAACTGAGTAATTGTCATACATTTTATTTTATTGTTGTGAACCATGTTAGTTGTATAGCGGTTGTAAAGAAACTACAAAGTCCTCATAGAGTCATATGAAAAAGTGAAGACATTCAGCGAAGAGACTCTTTTCGGGTCTCTTCTAGTCTCTTTGCTAAACTTCTGCTGTTTTTCATAAAACTACGAAATGACAATGTCATCTCGCGAAATTTGTCTTTCAAATGCCTTATTCAAATGTATATATGCTTACTCATAAGGAACAAAATTCAGATGCGACTAAGTGGTTGGGAGTAATGATATAAACAGAAAAATAATATTTCTACTTACATTTACTCCAGACTGTACAGATTCCACAGTAGTAAAGTTGCTTGACAAGCTGTCAATAATAAGAGGTGGAAGTAAGGAAAAGAAAATAGTGAGTGAGCCTGTAAAGCAGTGAACACTATTAAAATTAAACGGTAAAAAATGATATCAAAATACAGATATTATTATTTCCTTAATTCCTACAGGAACATAGTGATTCAGCCAAACGTCTCCATTGCGGCTGGTTCTCTACTAGAGTTTTCACCTGGCTCCAAGTCTGCCCACATGTTTTCATTCCTTTTTCACATGACCTCCTCCAGGTTACCCTTGCACTGACGACCAACTCGCTACTTGCCATTCGGGTTCCACTCGAGCAATGGATTGTTACTTGACGGTTTCCTCGGAGTATGGCTAATCCACCTCCATTTCTTCCTGCCTATTTGTTCCACAATCGGTTCCTGGTTGGTTTGCTCATTACCAGAGATCCCTATTGCTGATCTTTTCTGGCTGGCCATCTGATCTTGAGCGGAGTATTGAGCGAAGACATCTGTTGATGAAGGTCTGTAGTTTGTTTGAGGTGCTCTTTATGACGCACCGAGTCTCTGATCCGTATAGTAGCACTGACTTCACATTGGAGGTAACTACACCCATAAAGAAACCAATTTACCGGTCAAAATAACGGGTATAGTAGACTTAGGAACTACCTATCAATTGTATAACCAAAAACAGATTCAAATCTATGAAAGAGAGAAAGAGAATATCAATTTCCCTAATCTTGTAGATATATCTGACAGATGAGCGCCAAACAGGAAAGAAGTCGAGGTCTATGACTTCCCAATGACTACTAAATAACTACCTAACGGTTGACCAAAGTGTACCACAGTGACTAGTCACCTGGCCTAGTAATTGTCTTGCAGATTTAGCTCATAGAAATCAATCATCTCTAACGCTAAGGGTTAGATACACTAACCATAGGACAGATCAATTTCTCAGCTATAATTCTTTGTAAAAATAACCAACACGCTTAGAGAGAAAATGTAGTGTCTTAAACTTTATTCCAAGAAAAATCTCACCATGTATATAAACGTGTGCATCGGTGGCACAACGGTTTACCCTCGCCGACCATGCTCATGGTCCGGGGTTCGATCCCCGGCCACCAACGCACTCCTTTACCTCGCAAAGCCAGAAATAATGCTGGTAAAGAGAAAAGGTTGGGCGTGAGGCTAGCAACTCCATCCTGTAAAATTAAACACTGCTACAGAAACTTCAAGCTACTAGCTTGAGGCCCTATATTCCACTGAGAACGTGAAGGAAAAAATACATATATATGAACGTGCCGATGAAAGTGTAAATATTAAAAAAAAAACTGGAGTTAACAAATCCCTTGTATATTCAAAAAGACTACTCGAATATTATTTACTGGAACAAAAAAAAGGGTTAACAACCTACTTTTTGGATTCTTCGACTTTATGAGTTATTGTTACTTCAGGTAGAAATGCTGATGAATTCGACAGTGAATTAACAGATTGTGATGGTATCTCACTGTTCACAGTAGGTTTGAATTCAAAATTGTCTGTACACACAACATTTGGTAATTCAGACTGCGTAGTTTTTATTTCATCAGATACAGAACTGGATAAATTATGCTTTATGTTCATGTCTGGTTTCGTTTCTTCACTGTTAAGATCATATATACTACCACCAGTTGACTTTTGATCGTCTTCTGAACTCTCTTGAGAGCTTCTATTTTTCATTCGTTTATTCGAAAGACAATTTGCACGTTGTTTATTTACATATTTACGTTTTAAAGGCTTACATACTTCTGTTGTATTACATAATGAATTGACTGGTGTATTACAATCACTAACATCTGTATTTTCAGAGTCATTGCTTGTACTGCTAGTAATTCTTTGAGTAGTATTAGTAGTAGTAGTAGTAGTTTTATACTCTTCATTGGTAATATCAGAGACTTTGACAGTGTTTTCTTCACGGTTTTCAACCACATTAAATTCACCATCTCTATTTTTAGCTAAAGTAAGCTTTGGTAATGGAAGACGTGATATTTCTCCGTTAAGCGTCTTATTTTTTTCATCTGATTCATTCAGCAAAGAATCGTCTGAAATGCTTTGTGATGAATAAATTGATGTGAAACTGTTATCTGCTGACATGGTTGTCACAGAGTCACCATTGTATTTGTGTGGAATTTTCTGAAATAGTAAAGTAGACGAGAAGAAAATCAAGCAAATGAGGCAATACATAAATCGATTAACAAAAAGTATTTTAAAATCCCCATGCTATTCTTCATCATCAGTATAACTCCATTGCGCTCAGTTCTGTGCTACTGTGTTTAACCGAGTGTACGATTGCAAATAGTCTCTCACTTCCTCTCTATATGATATTCTCTGTGTCACTTTTAAGTGATAAATTCATCGTTTCTCATTCGAAGACCTGGCTGGCGTGTAGTATCGCTTAGAAGACTCCCCAACATAGGTCCACTTCATCTCCATTTCGCCCTGCATATTTATTTAGTGGTAAATTCTTGGTTGGTTAGCCAATCTGCCATAGTTCCCCGCTGCTTATCCTTTTCGGCCAGCCAACTGATATTCAGTATCCAGGCCACAAGGGCAAGTCCTTATGAAAGTCTACTAAAAAGCCAGTTAAAAGTTCTTTCGATTATGCCTGTAACAAGTCCCTGAATCATTCAGAAGCACTTACTTGAAATGAATATTAAAACTCGGATCTTTTTCCTTGTAGTGAACAATGTAGATCTCCACACTGACTTCATAGTAATAAATACCTGTCTTACTTCCCTACTTCTGGCTTTGACGTTTTCATATGTGTCACCTCTCTGTAGTTAGAACAATACTGCTTACGTGGAGTAAGTGAAAAAAGACGGCTTTCTCTAGTGATATAAGTATAAAACTATGGCACTATGGTAGAGCGTAACTCCATTATGAATAAGATTTTATTTTGATAAACCACACAGTGTTGTACAGTAATATTAAATGATGACCACGTTTGGAGCAAAAACTATTGCCACTTATAATCATATCAAGGCACCCACTCACACAACTTTTTTCCTTCATTTCTATATACATGTGTGGAATCGATTAGATATTGGATCAATAAAGGCCAAAAACAAAATAAAAATAATTGTGAAACCAGTAATGATAACATAAATTACAGAGAATATAAGTCATCTACTGTTATACCATATAAGGAGAGGATATCTGAGACTCTAAATAGGATTCTTAATAAAACAGGAATTAGAGTGGCATTCAAACCTAAAAACTCACTCACAGACAGGCTCTGTAGGCCAAAAGACCCGGTGGATCCAATTAAAAAAAAATAATATAATTTACAAAATACCTTGGAATGACTGTGAGTTATGTCAACTACATAAGTCAAACTAGTAGGTCGTGGGCAATCAGACTGTTGGAACTTAGGAATTTAGCTAAGGTAAGAATGGTTGACCCCGAGAAGATGAGTAATTTAGAAAAAAGCTCAGCAACTGCACTTCACGCATTACTACCCAACCACACAATAGAGTTGTGGGAGAGGGTTAAGATTCTAAGAAGTAATCTATGTGGGTGGAGATAGAGAGGGATTGATTACTGAATCCTACCTGGTTCATCGAGTCTGCACTCAACACAACACATGCGACAGAAATGACTTCATGCAAATACCAGAAATATGGAGGATATCATTACCGCCAGTCAGTCACATCAGAGGAGGATAATAAATAATCTCAAAATTCTATTTCAATTCAAACATATCACAACATTCTAACAAGTAACTTATTATGACTATAAAAAACACTCGTCTTATTTCCTACCTGATTGTAATTGATCAATAATAACACTCATAATATTATTTCTGAATGTAGATTATCCTACATTGATTTTTATTCTAATATCTAGTCACAATTAATTTTTTAATTTTTTTTTTTGATTTACAGCTTGATTCCACACTGTATTTTCTGTACAAGTATGGAATTTTCAGCATGGATATCGGTAGCCCAAATTTTGCAGGCCGACCATAGATATCAGGTTTGCGTCGGTGCGGACTCGAACCCCGGACCATGTGCATGGTCGGCGAGAGTCCTAACCACTGTGCCACCGACGTACACACATGTATATAGAAATGAAGGAAAAAAGTTGTGTGAGTAGTGTCTTTAAATGATTATGAGTGGCAATAATTTGTGCTCGAAATATGGACATCAGTTAATATCACTATACAACAGTGTGTGATTTATCAAAATAAAATCTTATTCATATTGGACTTTCTCTAGGTTTCTCTCATTAATGGATATTGGAGTTCGTTGTCAGTTCTCAGTAAAAATTTTCGAAAAAAAAATTCAATTTTATTATCTGTTTTATGTGTTACGTAGTTAGTACTCCCCTTCTTGAGAATATTTCAAACAAGACCATCCACCATACTCCACGAAAACTAGTATTAAAATGACATACACATATACGAATAATATTTGGATGATAAAAAAAAGAAGAGTACATTTAAAGAGTCTCTTTTGGATAAATTTACTTACTTAGTTGTACAACCACGAGCATCTTGGATGTTTTTGATGAGCAACTAATAAAATAACCATCCAGAAGTAAACATAAAATAAAAAGTCCAGCGTAGTGTCTCTTTTCTCTGACAAATTCATTCACTAAGCTGTACAATCATATTTACATATTTGAACAAGGCATTAAGAAGACAAATTTCGCGAGATGATATCATTTCGTAGTGTCTTTACAACCGCTTTACAACTAACATGGTTAACAATGATAAACTAAAGTTCATGAAAATTACTCAGTTAAATCAAAACAAAAGCAAATACTAATGACCAATCATATTAAGATAGGTCATGCAGTCCAGGGTAGGCGAAGATCGAAGTCTATTGATTTTTGTACACAAAGTTTAGGCTGTATGTGATTAATCCAAAGTGCTTCCATCACCTTCAATAACCTTGAATTAGAGTTATGTGATGAAATAATTGTGAAACAGTCATTAATATTTATTTTCTGACCAGACCTATATAGGTGTCACCGAGGCTGTAGGTGAACTTGTAGATACAGTTTGAAGTAGAGTCCACATATATATAATATATATATAATTATTTTGTGTATGTGTGTGTATGTACCACAGGATTGTCAAACATAAATAAACATTAGTCAGAGTTATTCCTTGCTCACGTCATCAAAATGTTTCAAAATTATGAAGAATAATCAAGTTATGACTGGGTGGAGGGGGTGAGGGGGTGAAGATTGGTAAGTAAATGACAAGTGGCCAAAATGGATTATGTCATAGGTAGAAAGAGTCAATAAAGGGTCAGTTAAAAAAAAGACCTTACTAAAATGTCATACAAATTGAGTGTTTTGTTGTTGAATTTTTGTTTGACCTTTTAGAAACATCTTTTTTTAACCAACTCTTTATTTACTCTTTCTACCTCTTAGATAACCTGATTATTGCATGGAGGATTTAATCATGAGCTGACATCAGTTAGAGAACCACTGGAAAACCTGGGAGTACTGGACAGCTGTTTCGTCCTAGTCTGGGACTCTTCAGCAGTACGTACCCACCGGGATTCGAACCCAGGACCTTCTGGTTACAAAGCGAGCTCGTATACCCAGTGAGTGCGTACTGCTGAAGAGTCCCAAATTAGGACGAAACAGCTGTCCAGTACTCTCAGGTTTTCCAGTGGTTCTCTAACTGATGTCAGCTCATGATTAAATCCTCCATGCAATCAAACAAAATCCCTACAAAACCAATACTTGAAAACCTGATTATTCACCACATTTTTGAGACATTTTGATGACGTGGAGAATAAACTGAACTAATTTTTATTTTTGTCTGACATTCCTAATGTACACACACACACACACAAACTGCGATTGTACAACTTAGTGAATGAATTCGCTGGGTAAAAGAGACTCTTCGCTGAACTTTTTATTCTTATACTCAGAAACTATGTACTGGTTGAGACTCATTAAACAAATTAAGTCAGTCAACGTAAATTCCGATTTCCTCAGAGGGAATGGGTATCACACAAAAAAAAATGAATAAAACAAAGAGAACATTTTAGAAAGATTTAATTGAATTTTAGATTTTCCCGTCAATCGATTGGACCTAAGTCCTCGGCTTCTTGTGCAGATGCTTCGAAGATGTCTGGGCATGTGATTAGAATTTAATTAGTGGATGATGACTAGCAGTGGAATCTAGGATGCTCATTTCGTCCTGTTTTGGACTCGTCATCTGGATGTACAAAGTGAGGAACAACCTACCAAAGGCAATACGCTGTACTGAGGAATGGAAACACACACAGATGACGAATCTCAAATAGGATGAAATACGCGTTGTTTTGGATTCCAGTGCTAGTCATCACCCACCAACTGACTTCCAGTTACATGACCAGACATTGTCGAAGCATTTGCACAAAAAGCCGACATGTCAACCTGAGACTGAGCACTTCGGTCCAATTGGTCGAAGGGGAAATTTAAATTCAATTAAATAATTAATATAACCCATTGCACAAGCGACAGTGGCTCTCGTAGCCTAAGTGGTTTAGTGAATAACGCTCTGGTGTTTGAAACTATGGGCACTGGGTTCGAGCCTGGGTGGGAACATCACCATTCACTGGGGAATGCAGGTACATCCAGATGACGAGTCCCAAATAGGACAAAATGCACATCCATTGCTAGTCACCATCCACTGATTAAATTTTAGGAAAATGTCATAAAAATAATGCTGAAAAGTCAGTTCTGAACATCTACAAGCGCTGCTTAATGTAGCTTAATGCTATGATCCATGAAGAGAAGTATGAGTTATCTCAATCAAATCTTTAGTATGCTATAAATCAATGTTTGTTGGCAGTATTCAAAAGTATTTACAATTAGATAAACCTGTCCGTTCTTCACCACCTTATCAATTCTGAATACTTTCATTTCTCATCTTCAATGAACTATTATCTATCCTCTGAAACTTCTATTTTTTTTCTTCACTTTCATGATATACTTTATCGATTCTCTACCTTTTCATGTGCATTTCTGAAATATACTACCTTCAAGTGATGTATTTCGTCATCAAATTTCACATGAATGTGTCACTCACTGGCTCAATATCAATAAAGCAAGTTTTAAAATCAGGTAGTGAAAAATAAACTCAAAATGTCATCAAAAACCGGAGGGTGTAAATTATTTTTCAGTAGAGTAATAAAACACTTGTTTGCTGTTTTAAATTACAAGTGAAACGACGGTTTTTCTCTCCTAGAATGTTCTATATCTTTAAAAAGATGAATGGAAACAAAAGTGTACCAAAATTTAAGAAAAGATTGTCATAAAATTCTATCGTAGTCTACTTATTTATTTGAAGCTTTGTAAACACAAAATAAGCATAAAATAATATATCAGTATATTTATGTTAGGCCTCGTGTTTTCAGTCCTGTACACTATAAGCCTAATCTCAGGTCAAAATGGCTACCATCACCGTTTTCTGGTGAGCTATTTCAGACAACCAAGATATTCATCATTTAACGAATTCATAGGCCATTAGATCGGGTTCCAATGACTTAATGGTGTACGAGCTAGCTCGGCTTGTAACCAGAAGGTCCAAGGTTCGAATCCAGATGGGTAAGTACTGATGAAGAGTCACAAACTAGGATGAAATAGCTGTCCAGTACTCCCTGCAGGTTTTCGAATGGTTCTCTAACTCATATCAGCTCATGATGAAATTCTCTATCCAATCAATTCATAATAAAACAAAACATGTAGTTCAGCGAAGAGTCTTTTTTCGGCGAAGTCATTTTCTTAACTGTACAGTCGCAAATATTATATATATATATATATATATATATATATATATATATATATATGAATGGGTTATTTTGTATGTATGTGTACATTAAATTTGTCAGACATAAATACAACTGATTATGGTTATTTTAACTAAACAGGTTAGAATTAGTAAGTTTTGGATGGAGTTGCGTAAGACAAAAAAGGTCAAGAAAATTGGGTGTTAATGAAACCAGGGTAGTAACAAAGGTAATGAGTTATCAGAAACAGTTTTTAAAAAGGAGTTACGTTGCACTCAAACTTAACATACACATACATGCAAAATAACCTGCGACTGTAGAGCTAAAAAATATATATATTTGCCGAAAAGAAACTCTTCGCTGAACTACGTGCTTTGTGCTTATTAATTCATAATACACACACCATAAACATTTCCAAGAGACCATTTAGAATAATGTATCATGTTTCGTCACAACTTATTGACTTTAAACTCTATAAACGTACCATAATCAAATAACATAGAGTGTAATTATAATTTTTAAAGTTTCAGTAGTCTGAAGATTTACATAAATTTATTATTTTTCAAGAATTGGCTTGTAAGGATTAGATTTGCTTTTACAAGTTGATCACGGATTGATATCAGTTAGAGAACCACTAAAAATCAGCACTGGAGTGCTGACAGACAGCTGTTTCACCCTAGTTTGCGAATCACCGGCAGAATTCACCCACCGTGGTACGAATCCAGGACCATCCAGTTACAAGGGAACCAATCTCGTATACCATTCAACCACTAGGACCCGATTCCTCTATGGCCAGTACATGAATTCTGACTTCTACCAATTCGTGATGCATTTAGCGCGACCATCAACCAATGTCATCGGCGAGACATCCCTCCTCACACGTGACTGGATGGACCTCACTGGTCACAACTTCTTACTAGAACTCAAGGAAACTCCATCCTGTAGCAAGTCACTGCCGAGCATCATATTAATTTTCAAGAGATGGTTTGCTGGAATTCGAGGTGTTTTTTCCGAGTTCGACCACTTACTGATATCAGTAGGTGCGTACTACCGATGATTCCTAAACTAGGATGAAACAGCTGTCCGTCAGTACTCCAGTACTGCTTTTCAATGATTCTCTAAATGATATCAATCCGTGGTCAAACTCGTAAAAAAAACATTATCAAACAAAAACTGGTAAACTGAAATCCATACTAACGTAGGACTTCTAAGCAAATGGTCATAAAATTGACACACTAATACGCATACATACAGGGTTTTTTTTCTAAATTAACTTATCAGGGTATGTTCAAAAAGCGGTGAAAGACAAGATTAAATTTTCGTTGGAAAATAAAAGCTCGAAAAAGTTGCGAATAAATCACTTTCACGACTAGTGGTGTCCGTCAAGGATGCCCATTATTCCCTTTTCTATTTAACTTCATCATAGATGTACTAATGGACTTAACACTAACTCATTTCAGCGACTCAGGGATTGACTTGCTACCAAGGACTTAGAATATGCACACGATATAGTCCTTCTAGGCGAGGACGCTGACAAAATGAAGATTCTTCTAAACACCTTGAGCTGCAATCTACGAAGGTTTGGCATGCGATTCGCTCCCGCCAAATGCAAGATGATGTTACAGGACTGGAATACACCGACTCCTAGATTAGAAATAGGGAGCGAAGTGGTAGAGCACGTTGTCCGCTTCACTTATTTGGGAAGTACCATCAGCCAGTGCCAACGGGTTGATCTCTGACGAAATCTCAGCTCAGTACGAATACAGAGGGCTAGTTTCGCATATGCCAGTTTACGTCGTCTCTGACGTAGACGTGATATCCGGCTGGCTATCAAGCAAAGAGCGGGTGTACTGCTCATCTGTCCGCTCCGTCCTCCTTTATGGCTAGTTGTGAGACCTGGTCATTGAGAGGTGAAGACATGAAATGATTATCTGCCTTTGACCATAGGTGCCTGCGCTCTATCTCCCGTGTTAAGTGATATAATAAGGTGAGGAATATTGAAGTTAGGCGTCGAGTGCTATGTAAACAGGGGAAATCAATCGATGAGGCTGTGAAGTTACATCTCTTGAGATGGTTAGGACATGTGTTACGCATGCATCCCTAATCATCGCCTTCCTCGACGGGCAGAGTTAGTTGACGTAAGTTCAGGGTGGAGAAGAGCTAGCGGCAGTCAAACCAAAACATGACTTCACCAGTCAATGAAATCTACAACAGTTAATTTAAGTCAGCCACGTAGGAAGGTGTAGACTTCCTGACTGGTTGGGTTCCTCGGGACGGTAAAAACCAATGGCTGGCGACAATTGGTGATGTGTCTGAAAATCGTTCTCAACGGCTGGCGCAGATGCATCCACCCCTTGTGACTTATGATTTCAAATGAAACTATATTGTTCTTCGTTATTACTCTTCCTTTGTCTCACACCTCTGTTTACTGTCTCTAGTATGCAGACACACTTTTACACCTTGATTCAGTTCTGACCATTCCTTTTCATTTTAACCACCTTTGGATTTAAACACTGAACAAATTAAGTTTTATTCCATCTGCAGTCTGTGATAATTGGCATGAAGAATTCCAACAATAGCTGTTGTAAAGATACAATGAATTTCTGTTAGGATCCGTTCACTGTAGTATATTACAGAATGAATAAATGAATTACAAGTGACCAATTACGATCATCATTGAACAAAGCTTGGAATGGCAGTCACCTCTCTATCTCAACTTCATCGACTTTGAAAAGGCCTTCGACAGCGTCTACCGAGAGGTTATTTGGAAACTACTTCGCTACTACGGGGTCCCATCGACAATTATACACCTCATCCAACAGTTATACGACAATGCTGCATGCCAAGTAATCCACAACGGGAAACTTACGGAAGCCTTCGAAGTGAGGACGGGAGTGAGGCAAGGCTGTCTACTATCACCAATGATCTTCCTGATTGCAATTGATTGGATAATGCGACAGACAACGTCAACCAACGAGGGAACAGGCATAAAATGGACTGACACAAAAGACTTGGAGGATCTGGATTTCGCCGATGATATATGTCTGATTTCCCATAAACTGGAAGATATGCAAGTGAAAAGTAACAAGTTGGCAGAAGAAGCATCAAAGATAGGACTTCAAGTGAACATAGATAAAACAGAGGTAGGTGATGAAGACTCCTAGCCAACATCAACAACACCAACAGACAACAATCAGCATAAGTGGGAAGAACCTGAAAGAAACAACCTCCTTCACCTACCTGGGAAGCATCGTCTCAACTACAGGCGGAACTGACGAGGACATCAAAGCCAGAATCGGAAAAGCAAGACAAGCTTTCATTACTCTCAAATCTGTGTGGAGGTCAACAGCAATCAGCATCAAAAATAAGATCCGGATTTTCAACTCCAATGTAAAATCAGTGCTACTATACGGATCAGAGACTTGGCGAGTCATAAAGAGCATCTCAAATAAACTTCAAACCTTCATTAACAGCTGTCTCCGCTCAATACTCAAGATCAGATGGCTGGCCAGAAAAGATCAGCAACAGGGATCTCTGGGAGCGAACCAATCAGGAACCGATTGTGAAACAAATAGGCAGAAAGAAATGGAGATGGATTGGCCATACGCTGAGGAAACCATCAAGTGACATCACTAGACAAGCCATTGCTCGAGTGGAACTCGAAAGGGAGGCGGCGAGTTGGTCGTCCAAGGGTGACTTGGAGGAGGTCATGCGAGGGGGAGATGAAAGCATGTGGACAGACCTGGAGCAGGGTGAAAAAGTTGTCAGAAAACCGAAGTCAATGGAGGTGCGCAGCTGAAGCCCTATGTTCCTCTAGGAACTAAAGGATACAATAATATAATATAATAATAATAATTACTAAGCGAGTATGTGGATAAATATTGCATTTTTAGGAAAAAGCAAACCAAACGGTAATATTCAAAATGACAGCATAATTTTTATGAATTCCTTTAAAACTGAAATCCCACTCACAATATTGCCACTTCTTGACTTTTGACGACGTGTAGTAAATGGTCGATGTCGTCTTCTTTTTGTACGCAATACAGTTTTCCTTCGATGTGCAAGATTTTCATTTGTTGACTCTCTGTTTGTATTGTGTTGATTTTTTATTCTTGCTGTATACGCTAAAGACTTTTTGATAGAATTGTTGTAATAACGTTTATTGGATACTTGCATTGTACAATCACTGAGACTCTGAAAAATATGGAAAAGAAAATCAAACCATTTGAAATGCCACACAGTATATTTGTATACATAATCAGGCTACTTAATTTAATATTAGTAGTCATAATGAATAACCACAATCTAAATTCAAAAATGAATCACCAAATTAGGTAACCAATTAATTTTAAGGTATAGGGCGGAAGGAAATTATTTCGTGAACTTACTACCAAAAAAATAAATAAACATGACACTTTTCTATTCTTAGGAAATATTTCAAATATTATACGAAATTTAGTCAAATATCTCAGAAAGCTTTTCAATTATTGGTTTGTAGGAATTTGATTGAATGGTTACAGGATTGCATCATAAGCTGCCATTGGTCAGAGTACCATTGAAAAACCTGGGAGCACTGGACAGCCGTTTCATCCTAGTTTGGGACTCTTCGTCAGTACGCACCCATCGGGGTTCGAACCAATGACTCCAGTACTCCAAGGTTTTCCAATGGTTCTCTAACCAATGTCAGCTCATGATGAAATCCTGTAACCAATCAACGAAATCCCTACAAACCAACACTTAAATATCGATGAGGTGCTCACTAGCGACTTGCTACCTGGGGTTCCAGTGGGAAGTCGTGATCAGTAGGGTGCAGCAGGTCAGGTGTGAAGACAAATACTCACCGAAGACATTGGCTAGCGGTCACGCTATGTCGTGAATTGGCAAAAGTTAGAATCCATGAACTGGCTCATACAGTGGCTCACCTTTTAACGAGAAGGTCCTGGGCTCGAACCCCGGTGGGTACGTTCTGTTGAAGAGTCCTGAACTAAGATGAGACGGCTGTTCAGTACTCCCACGTTTACCAATGGTTCTCTAAACTATCTCAGAAAGCATTACTTTATGGTATCTGGAATAAAAATCCTAATCTTTATGCAGACATTAATGAAAATAAAACAAATAGTTCAGTGAACATTTTTTTTCTCAGGCCAATTCATTCACCTAGCCAAAGAATTGTAATTATACATACTTATATTTATATGTATCTGTGTGTGTGTGTGTACAGTGGGTTGTCTGATAAGAATAAAAATGAGTTAGACTTATTGTTGTCAAGACATCTGAAAACTGTGGTGAGTAATCAAATTGTAACTGTGGTGGGATTAGGTGAGGTAGATCGGAGTGGGGTGGAGTTAAGATTGGTAGTGGGGTAGTAGTGATGTGTTTTCAAACGACATTGTCATTAATGTTAATCAATACACTAAAGAAGTTGAATAAGCTTAATACAGTTACGTAATATTGAGATGAACAGTTTAATTGAGTGAGTTGTGATTACAGTGAGCATAGAAACAAAGAAGAATATGGAGTTATGTAACAGTTCTAAAAGTTACAAATGTGATAAAGAGTTAGTCTTCACAAGAATAAGCCTAACCCATTTTTATTCCTATAGGAAAAACCTAATGTATCCACATGCACACAGAAAATAATTATATATAAATGCGATTGTACAGTTAAGTGAATGAACTGGCCGACGAAAAGATTTCGCTGGTCGACTATTCTCTGAACTATGTGCTTTTTACTGGATTTCATCATGAGCTGACATCGGTTAGAGAACTATTAGAAAACTAACTAGGATTATTACACAGCTGTTTCGTCAGCCTAGTTTGTGACTCTTCAGTAGTACGCACCCACCATAAGTAATTTTTTTGATTACAGCTTGATTCCACACTGTATTTTTGGTAAATGTGTGGAATTTTTAGCATGGATATCGGTAGCCCAAATTTTGCAAGCCGACCATAGATATCAGGTGTGCGTCGGCAGGGGATCGAACCTCGAACCATGTGCATGGTCGGCGAGAGTCGTAGGTAGTTCGAGCCCACGACCTTCTGGTTACAAGGCAAGCTCGTAGACCATTAAAAGCCACTGGGACTCGATCCAATGGCCAGTCCATGAATTCGAACTTCTGCCAATTCACGATATAGCGCAACCACTAGCCAATGTCTTCGGCTGTCCAGTACTCCCTGCAGGTTTTCCAATAGTTCTCTAACCAATGTCAGTTCATGATGAAATCCTGTATCCAATCAATCAAATCCCTACAAACCAACACTTGAATACGTTTATTTCATCAGCATCTGGAATAGTCAAAGTATTAGTAAACCATTGCTCTCCGAACTGATATGCTCCTACCTTCTCCAGTTAAATTGGAACCTACAGTTGTTTTTTTGAAGTGTACCAAGTATCAAATGATAATAGACGGAAATTTTGCTATGATGTACAAATAAAGCAGATGACAAATGTTCCTATGCATTGCACTTAACAGTTTCCAGATTTTTGAAATAAATATAAAATTATACCGTTAAATGTCCACCACTAAAAGTAATTCTCTGTAATTATGAATATATTAGATTACTCTTTCAGTCAGCTACAAGTGAAAGAAAAACAAAACGATATTGTTTTTTTCATTCACTGCGAAATACAAGAAGACCTTTATTATAATGAATATCGTATGCCCAATGCCTAAATTTCTTCAAACTGTTAGATATCCTTCACTGCTAAAATTAATCATTTTCTCCCTGATAGTCGTTACAACCGAGATGTGAAGTCCTCCTCTACAGAATTTAGTTTATCGAAAACGTTTTAAGTGGTTAATTTCCTTAGACTGATTAACCAACTCTACTGGCGAGGAATCATGCTTCTGTCGACGCCAAGTAAAATACTGAGCTGCATCATCCTGGAAAGAATAAAGGACGCACTGGATACAGAACTCCGACCAGAACAAGCTGTGTTCAGGAAAGGCGAATCATGTTTTGACCAAACTGCAACTTTACGCATCATCGTTATATAACAAAGCATGGAATGGCAATCAAACCTCTACCTCAACTTTATAGACTTTGAGAAGGCCTTCACTAGACAGCGTTGATCGTGAAGTAATTTAGAAATTACTCGAGGACTACGGCCTACCCTAAATACTCATCAACCTCATTCAACAGCTGTACGACAACGGCAGCACATGTCAAGTGATCCACAACGGAAAACTCAGCGAGGGGTTTGGAGTAAACACAGGAGTCAGACAAGGATGCTGGCTTATTATCATCAATGATATTCCTATTTGTGGTGGACTGACTGGATTATGCGTCAGACAGTGGTTGGGAGACGAGAAGACAGGGATATCCTGGACAGACAGATGTGAAGTACCTAGAAGACCTGGATTTCGCTTGCGGATGATTCATGTTTGATGTCATACAAAGTCGAAGACTTACAAGCGAAAACCGACAAACTGGTCGAAGAAGTAGCCTGCGAAGACAGGACTCCAAGTGAACATAGACAAGACGGAGGTGATGAAAATAACCAGCCAACAACAACAACAGCAACATCAGCAAAATCCAGCGCCAATCACCATCAACGGGAGGGATTTGAAAGAGGCCACCTCATTCACTCACTTGTTTAGGGAACATTGTCTCAACTACAGGATATCTCAACGGACGAGGGTGTCAAATCGAGCGAGAATCGGGAAGGCGAGCGAGAAACGCATTCATCAACCAACCTGAAACCAATCTGGAAAACCAATCTTCGTCACTCAGCCAGCATCAACAACAAAATTCGGTCGGATTTTCAATACAAACGTGGTCAAGTCAGTCAGTTCTTCTATACGGAACGGATCAGAAATTTGGTGGGCGGGTCACAAAGAACAGGTATTTCCAACAGCCTGCTGCAGACCAGACCTTTATCAACCAACAACTGTCTTCGCTGGCTCTATACTGAAGATGAGATGGCCGGGTCGGGCCGGAAAAAATCATCAACAAGAAGCCAACTATGGGAACAAACAAACAAAACAAGAACCAATCGCCAACCAACAAATATGCAGGAGAAAGTGGAGATGGATGGATGGACTGGACACTCACTCTCTGAAGAGGCCGGCCACTGGGTGACATGGCGCGCGCGTCAGATCATTGGTCGAGTGGAACCAGGCCGAAAGGGAAGCGGCGAGTGAGACGTCAGTGCAAAGGTGACATGGAAGAGATGGTGTGAAGAGGAGTTGAAAGAGTATGGACTAACATGGATGCAAGAGAAAAGTACAGCAGAAGACAGAAGCGAGTGGTGACGTGCAGTTGAAGCTCTATGTTCTACTATGAACCCAAGGGAAGAATAATAATAATACTGAATAGCATGTTATGTTACATAAATTAACTTCTTCAAAACAATAATGTACATAAACAAAAAAAATGTGGAATTGATTTAAAATCAGTATAAAAAATAAAATCTTACCCTTTTCAAAGCCAGTTCAAGATCTTGATTAGCTAAATCTAAACGCTTGGGAGGTATTCTTGGTCTTGGATGCAGAATTATCTTATCAAATTCATCGTGAGTCGCTTGTGTCATTACAGATGATGATAGATTACTATAACTACTATTAAAATATTGATTTGATTCTTTTGAATTTATCTCACAATTATACTGACCAATGGGAGAAGATACTTTTATACCATACGTGTCATGATTAACACTGGCATAGTTAGTAGTCTGTAAGGTCAGATTAGCTCCCCATTTCACTCTGGATGCAATTGATGAAGAAGTTAGTGTTGTAGGCGATAAAAGACGATTACTATCATAGCATGTATTCCTTGGATGACAATAATAATTTGATGAATAGTTAAGCGGTGAAGTTAAAATGCATAAAATTTTATTTTGATCACAACGAATTCGTTGTTTATCAGTGCTGCCATTGTTGTATTGATGGGCAGAAGTTATGCTGGCTGTTGAGTCAGTTGCTGTCGTTGTGTAGATAGGATTATTTGGGGCAGTAACAGTTGTAGGTGTCGAAGGCGTATTATTATTATTATTATTATTATTATTATTATTATTATTATTACTGTTGTAGTTACAAAATTTATCACAAACTGATTGTGCAAAAGAACTCTCGACTATTTCATTAGGATAATAATCTTTTGAAAGAGAATTTCTTTTAAATTTTATCACTAAATGATCTGTTCCACGAAGTCGTGATCTGCGTAGTTTAGCAGCTACAAATAGAAAATGAAACAGGTAAAAGTTAAATATCATTATTAAGAAATCTTGTTAATAAAAAAAACAGCAACTTACTTTATTTCAGTAATGATGGCTTTCAATTCTCATACATACGCATTAAACGCACAAACCTTTTTCGTTGTTGATGAAAATCATTTAAGTAATGAAGAGTCCACCGAAGGAGAGGGCTGTCGAGTGGTTGCGCCATAGGATGATCCTACATGCCGGTCTCTTCTCGCCAATGGCAGGGATGGGTGTGTTGAGTTTTCCTGAAAACCAATACCCAGTTAATGGGTGTATTACTGTGAGTGCTTCGGTGGCACAGAGGTTAGGATGCTCGCTAACCGTGCACATGGTCCGGGGTTCTAGTCCGGCCGACGAGGAACTCCTTTACCTCACTTACCCAGTAATAGGATTGGTAAAGAGGGAAGGTTGGGCTTGAGGCTGGCTAGCAACCCCATCCTGTAAAATAAACACTGCTACAGAAACTTCAAGCCAGTAGCTTGAGGCCCTATGTTCCACTAAGAACGTGAAGGAAATAAAAGAATTAAAAAAAACAAGAGTGAGTGCATAGGTGATGTGATGGTAGAATACTTGCCAACTCCGGGTTCAATTCCACACAGATGCACTCCATTGCCATTGGTAAGCTCAGTAAAGACGGAAGGTTGGATGTGAAACTAGTGACCTCAACCCATAAAAAAGCAACACTCCTAATGAAAACTTCAAGAATCAAGCCTGAAGCTTTAGACTTCACTCGGAATGCAAAGGAATGAAGGGGATGAACAGGGAAATCCTCTGTTACATTATAAGCTGCACACACAAAATATGTTATTTCATCTTAACCTAGTGTAAAGTAACGATAATCAACAGTTAAACCTTTTGACTGGACACTAGTTGGTAACTAGTGTAATGTGTCTAGTCCTCTGTTTGGTGCAAACTGAATTTTATCAGTCATGTTGGCAATGTGGCCAACATTCTAGGTGTCTCGCCATCATGGTGCACTTCGAATATTTTAATATTAGATGGTCGGAGGCAATCAGCAGGAAGTCTTGCACCTAGGTTTCGTGTTGACGAGTGCCAACACTAGTTGGTAACTGGTGTCCAATCAAAACTATCTGCTACAGTCCTACAGGAGGTCAATCGCCAATAGGACCGAATAGCTCAGTGACAACGCCTCTGATTGCAGTACTGATCAAAATGGGTTTGAATCTCAGAAGGGACATGAGTTCCTTCAAGATGACTGTAGATACGCCTTGCTAACTAAGTGAGTACCAACTGGCGCGTCGTAACCTAGGTGAAGCAAGGCTTCTTGACGATTGCCTCCAACCATCTGATTACACCTAAACCATCATTTCAACAAATTCAATGATAATGTTTACAAAATTCATAAATAAGGTTTCACTTTTAACACATTGACTGTCATTCAGCGTAGTGACACTAATCAACCAACAAACCCTGTTGACGAGCTTAAGGAATTCAGTGATCTCTTAGAAATACTGACCCTTCTAAACTAGCAGCTAAAAGTTGGAAAATTTTTCAACCAAGATAATCATCAGATAGTTAGTAAACTCCTTCTATATGACTGAATTATATGTGTTAGTCAATCGTCTAAAATAATAAGCAATAAAAAGTAACAGTGACTATCATCAAGTGATAAAGTCAACATAATCCACTGTTTTGCAGTCTTCTCGATAGCATTTTTCAACCAAAAAAAGTGGTAGTGGTGAAGAGTTGTCAATCTTCGTAGATGTATAAAGTAGGTTGAATAATTGCTTTATAGTTACGTGATAGGATGCATAATTTAACGCCTTGTAACCAGAAGGTCCTGGGTTCAAACCTCCTGTGGTGGGTGCGTACTGATGAAGGGGCCCTAACTAGGACGAAACAGCTGTCCAGTACTCGCAGGTTTTCCGATGGTTCTCCAACCAATATCAGCTCATGATGAAATCCTGTAACCAATCAAATCCCTACAAACCAACACTCAAAAAAAGTATTCTGTCACATAAAAATACATTTGAAAATTCTTAGTAAAGTTTACGTTTAAGAAAAGATTTCCCTTCTAGTATATCAGTGATTGTCGTACTATCTGGTATTTATTGTGAACAACAACAAAATATCATGAGTCGGTTTACAGGGATTTGGCTGGTTGAAAGTTCTGTCACGAGCTGACATCAGTTAGATGATGTCTGGAAAACCTGGGAGTGCCGGACATCTGTTTCGTCATAGAGCTTGGGACTCTTCAGCACTACGCATCCAATGAGGTGTGAACCCATTCAAGTTTCGGTTACAGGGCTAGCTAGAGCGTAGACTATTCAGCCACTGGGACCTGATCCAATGACCAGCCCATGAATTCCAACCTATGCCAATTAGTGTTGTAGGCAGAGCAACCTCTTCTCTTACCTGCTTTGATGGACCCCACTGGTTACAACTTTTCACAACAAAATAACTAAAACCAGGGATGTTAGTATACGATATGTGTACAATAATACCTTCCATAATTCTTTTATCAGCAGATAGATACATCAAGTTTTAATATTTCTGAAATAAAACATCTACTCTCAATGCATGAAAAGCTAAAAACAATCTTTAAAATTGCGTGGGGCCTGACACAACTGTGCCTCCCTGTAACTTACTATTTTTATATTTAAAAAGCTGAGAAGAAAACAATAAGGTTAAAAAAATACAGGGTAACAAAAATCACACTGTCAGGAAGTGATAAATAAAAGTAACGGAAAAAGACATAAAAAAATGCTTAGGAAAATTTTTGTTCAAAACCTATTTTGATGATAAGGCGAAAATTTATTTTGTAAAAGTGAGAGAGAATTGAAACTAAATCTTCGACATAAAATCCTGAATTATGAATCTTAGTTATTTAACTGACTACAGAAACGTAAATCTTCTGATTATGAACATATCGTAGGCCATTGTTCAATGTTCACGATTGTCTGTCACGGAATGTAACATCAGTGCTAAGAATACTTGGGTGCAACTACCACTACAGACAGTAGAATAAACTGACGTAGACAGTGGCTACGTAGTAATATTTTAGATATATGTGCTCCAGTCTCCTTATTCAAAGAAGGTTCTTAAATTTATCAGTTAATTCAAGACCTTTAATTATTTAATTCTATTTTAAATTTTCCCGTCGACTGACTGGACCAAAGTACTCGGTCTCAGGTTTACATGTCATCTCCTTGTGCAGATGCTTCAACGATATCTAGTTATGCAACTTGAAGTCATTATTCACTGGGGAATGTAGGTACATCTAGCTGACGAGTCCCAAGTAGGAAGTAATGCGAATTCTGGATTCCACTGATAGTCACCATCTACTAACTAGATTAAACCTCAGTGTTTACATTGCCCACCTAATGACGCGCTTTTCAACTGTGGTCAACTCATAGTCACTAGATACCCGTGACAGGAAGCGGCTAAGTCCAGCTAAATTGAGCTTAGACAAGATTAAACCAGAAAAGACAAACTGAGCCACTGGGCAGAGGCAGGATAATTTCTCAATGCAACTGAACATCCTAGAAACCCAACTTCATACAACCAATCTAACTCGTTAATTGTTAGCTTAGCTTTCTAAAATAGAATTATTCTCACTTGCACGAACTAGTGTGTATTCTATATTCTTTTCAGTGACCTAGGGAACTGGATATTATCGGTGATCAATATCAGTATCAGATCGACGAGTCAGCAGTATTATACTATATCATCACTGAAATAACAGTCCCTCAGTTATTTCAGTTACCCAGTAGGGAAGTTATATCCTTCATTAGGAAACTGCTTACAGTACACCTGATACACTGTATGACACCTATGAACATGCATTCTAGACTCAATAATTTTAATTTTTACTTCACGTTCCCAGTGGAACACAGGGCTCCAAGCTAGTGGCTTGAAGTTTCTATAGCAGTGTTTATTTTACAGGATGGGGTTGCTAGCCAGCCTCAAGCCCAACCTTCCCTCTTTACCAGCATTATTTCTGGCTTAGCGAGGTAAAGGAGTACGTTCGCCGGGGATCAAACCCCGGACCATGTGCATAGTCGGCGAGTGTCCTAACCGCTATGCCACCGACGCACATAAAAATAGTATTAACAATTTGCAAAACACCGCCTTCATAGTGTTCTGAAATAAAATTTGGAAAGAAAAACGTCTTCCCTTTAGTCAGCAACTTACAAATTCTTGAATAATCCCCACCCAGACATCAATGAAAACAAAACACGTAGTTCAGAGAAGAGCTTCTCTTCACTGACCAATTCATTCATTTAGCTGTACAATTGCAATTATTTATTTTCAATAATTGGTTTGTAAGGACTAGATTTATTTTCACGAGTTGATCGCGGATTGATATATACTTATTTTCCTCTGTGTGTATGTGTACATTCGGTTTGTCTGATAAGAATAAAAATGAGTTAGACTTATTGTTGTCAAGACATTTCAAAACTGCGATGAGTAACAGAATTGTAACTGTGGTGGGTTGGGATGGGGTGAAGATTGGTAGTGGGTTAGTGGTGATGTCTTGTCAAAAGACATTGTTATTAGTGTTACGTTGTTACGTAATAATGAGATGGATAGAAACATAGAAACAGGGAAAAATATGAAGTTATGTAACAGTTCTAAAATTACAAAAGTTTCAATGAGTTAGAAGAAGAACAAGAAACAACCACACAAACATCAAGTCAGTAGAAGGTCAACACGGTTGTTACCATGGTAGTAGAGGTATTTGGGTGATTTTCTTTTCTACACATAACTCTGGTTTCTCCAGCTGAATGACTAAGACTTCAGAAATACAAAGGAGACGAAAGCGTATCGTTGTGGTAGATTGTTCTTCACTTTGTACATCACTGTGGAGGAGTCGTTTGTTGAGATGGAACGACCACTGGCTGTATAAGAAGTGCAATAATGGAACGTCTCTTCAACACCGATCTTCACTTCCAGGCACCCCACCACAGTTACAATTTGATTACTCATTACAGCTTTCAAATGTCTTGACAACAATGGACCTAGCTTATTTTTATTCTTATCGGAGAAACCTAATATATATATACACATCGAAAAATGAGTATGTATAATTGCTATTGTACAGCTGGGTGAATGAATTGGCCGGCGAAAAAAGCGGCTCTTCTCTGAACTACGTGTTTTGTTTTCATTAACTTACAATTTGCCAGACCCTACCCGGTATTGTCTTTGTAAAATCCAACAGTGTAAAACAAATAAAAACAAGACTTTCTACTGTGCTGACGAAATTTTTCACTGATGACATTAACTGAGCAGTTAAATGCTTTCTAATTTTCATATGAGCTCACTTGGATTCTAATACCATTACTATTACATACCTAGTTCATCAATATATACTATACTTCAATAGGTAGAAATCGAAAGTTACATTGAGGTTTTAAAGAGGATTTATGACTCGAGACGATTATTTTGATGGCACTGTGTTACCTGTCAACATGAGTAGAGAAAAACCATTAAAACCCTTATAGACAAATTTATTCAATATACGGCTGGAGACAATGTAATGAAAGTGCTGTTGCAACTCAGCTACTCTAGCTTACGACTATGCTTTTGTAGAGCTGTTACAGTTGAGCTGATCTGCCTGCAGATAGTCTCCATCCATATAACATCAGTTCAAAAAATTGTGTACTGCCATGGAAAGTTGTTTATAACGGTGACTACACGGTAAGCTTCCCTAATAGAAGTCATCCAACCCCACTAAGAACTAGACACATAACACAGGTTACTACTCACCCAGTGACGAGTCAATTCTTCGAGAAATTGCGACTGTCTAGGAGGAGGATGTAAGATCCACACAAAAAAACTATTCAATCGGAAGGGTACAATACATACATATCATATTTACAACTAGAATAAAAATGTTGTTATCAATATACTTCGGTATTTCGCGGATGATTTATGTTACGTGTCACGCTAAATCGAAGACTTACAAGCGAAAACCGACAAACTGGTTGAAGAAGCAGCCGGCGAAGACAGGACTCCAAGTGAACATAGACAAGACGGAGGTGATGAAAATAACCAAGCAACCAAACGACAACAACAACAGTAACATCCAACGCATATCACCATCAACGGGAGGGATTTGAAAAAGGTCACCTCATTCACTCACTTGTTTAGGGAGCATTGTCTCAACTACAGGATATCTCAACGGACGAGGATGTCAAATCGAGCGAGAATCGGGAAGGCGAGTGAGAAACACATTCATCAACCAACCTGAAACCAATCTGGAAAACCAATCTTCGTCACTCAGCCAGCATCAACAACAAAATTCGGTCGGATTTTCAATACAAACGTGGTCAAGTCAGTCAGTTCTTCTATACAGAACGGATCAGAAATTGGCGGGCGGGTCACAAAGAACAGGTATTTCCAACAGCCTGTTGCAGACCAGACCTTTATCAACCAACAACTGTCTTCGCTGGCTCTATACTGAAGATCAGATGGCCGGGTCGGGTCGGGCCGGAAAAATCACCAACAAGAAACCAACTATGGGGGAAGCAAAACAAGAACAAATCAATCGCCAACCAACAAATATGCAGGAGCGGTGAGTGGAGATGGATGGACTGGACACTCACTCTCTGAGGAGGCCGGCCACTGGGTGACATGGCGCGCGCGTCAGATCATTGGTTGAGTGGAACCAGGCCGAAAGGGAAGCGGCGAGTGAGACGTCAGTGCAAAGGTGACATGGAAGAGATGGTGTGAAGAGGAGTTGAAAGAGTATGGACTAACATGGATGCAAGAGAAAAGTACAGCAGAAGACAGAAGCGAGTGGTGACGTGCAGTTGAAGCTCTATGTTCTACTATGAACCCAAGGGAAGAATAATAATAAAATATCAATATATTTCTGTATTACTCACGTGAATATTTATTCTGAAGAAAATGTGGTGCTATTGAATTACCACATTCAGAGGATTCTCGACGAACAAAAGCTATACGAATATTTCCTGTTCGACAGTTATCATAGCAGCTATTAATATGATCTCCGTTAACAGTAGTAGTCTTATACAAATTGTCTGGTCTAGACAACATGGAGGTTGTAGTAGTAACAGGTAAACACTGGATATTTGATATGTTGTTCAGCATTAGATCATTTTGCTCACAAACAATTTTGTCATCAATCGATAATCCAACCCAATCTCTTAGATAACCATTACAATGCACAGCATCATGACTGTCCACTCCTTTTTTGTTACCATTATTATTATTATTACTTTTAATATGATTAATATCTGGTATATTATCATTAGGATCACTTGTACAACTATTACTCTGTTCAATCAATTCTTTATTGATTAAATTTGATGGTGATGATGACAACGGTGATGAGGATGATTTGATTAAATTATTCACATCAATAAATTTTTGGTGTATTGTCAAATTTTTATGATTGTTTGTAGTAGCAAGTGACCAGCTGACACGTTTTGGCATAATCAACATTTTTTCTTTACTTATTTGTATTAAAGCATTCATTCGATTGTAGACACCTTGATTAACGATTAAAAAGCAGGTTTCTTCTTCCTCTTCTTCTTGTTCTTCTGCTTCTTGATCAATCACTGGTGGTGATAATGACGACGGCGATGACGACGTTGGCGACGATGATGTAGGCACTACAATGCAGAAAAGATTCGTTAGGTAGGGAATTTTAAATTAATGCATAATGTGATTACTTTTACTAACAATCTTGTGTAATTAAAAAGCAGTGGTAATGTTTTAGAAGCTAACTATTGTATATTTTGCTGTTATGAGCATTCAAGGGATTAGAATTGATGTGACATTTCAGTGATAATGGTGATAACGGTCATTGTTATTTTTTTCCCTCCACATTTCTAGTGGAACATAGGGCTCCAAGCTAGTGGCTTGAAGTTTCTGTAGGAGTGGTGTTTATTTTATAGGATGGGGTTGCTAGCCTCATGCCCAACCTTTCCCCTTTACCAGCATTATTTCTGGCTTAGTGAGGTAAAGGAGTGTGTTGGTGGCTGGAGATCGAACCCAGGATCATGTGCATGGTCGGCGAGTATCCTAACCGCTATGCCACCAACACACACATCATCATTATTGATTATACTTATTTATTCCTTTACTAACAGGTAGACGCGGTTTAGGAGGGCACAGCTCGACGCGATAAGAGGGGGAACATATGCGTGATTGGCGAACATTCGACCAGTGAAACATCCACACACTACTTATTATACTACAGTTCGTAAATAAGTAGTATATATGTTGAATTTCAACAATAAATGTTTTGTATCTCCTGAATAGACTGACTGACTGACTAAAATAACTCAGTGAAAAATAGGCTAGGCTACAAGTTTAAAGGACGACAGAACTACGATAAAGTTTAGTTTTCTTATGAAGTGATATCCATTAAAGTATCAGGCGAAAGTCTTTCTTTTTATTCCACCATCACATGCTTCACCAGGGTGTATCTGCGAAACCCTGAAGAATCGCACACAAAACCTGCTGTTATCAAAAAGAAGGAACAATAACTATTTAGTTCTGTTTGGTTTTCAATGTTTCTTGTGAAAAACTCAGTCTAATTTCCAAAAGCCCTAAATATGAATCTTATATTTTTATTTATTCAATAAAAGATTTTACAAAATGATTCATGTAATCTCTCGCTTCATACGCGAGAGGCCCCGGGTTCGACCCCCGGGATCTTTATACGCATCGATGAGGCAACGTGGTGTAAATTTTTGTGCGTCGTTGGCACAGATGTTAGGATTCTCACCGACCATGCCGCCACACACCTGATATCAATGGTTGGCCTACAAAATTTGGGCTACCGATATCACATGCTTGTACCGAAAATACGGTGTGGAATCAAGCTGTAATCAAAATAAATAAAAAATAAAATAAATCACATATGTCATGTGACAGTTCATGATACTATCAGGATTCTAAGTTCTAAATTGATGAAGTCTTGTTTGAACTTATGACTGATTTTGGTGAGAAATAAATTGATCAAACAAATGGGGCTCACCAAAAAAAAAAACTAATTCTACCTTAATCCAATTTCTCTCTCAGCTTTAATCATCATTCTGACCAGCCAGCAGTCAGACAATTTTCTCCGTAAACCTTCTCTAATTCAAATAGTTGTGAAATTGAATAAATAAATTGAATTCACAATCTACAATGATGATAAGTATATCATGACTTGCTTGTCATCTGCTATACAACATGAAAACACTCAGTTAGCACTAAGACCTCATGACTCAAATGTCAGTTATATGTACTTTGACTGGACACTAGTAACTAGTGTGATGTGGTACATACTGAATTCTATCAGTCAAGTTTGCAATGTGGCCACCATTCTAGGTGGCTCGCCATCATGGTACACTGTGAATTGTTGGTATTAGATAGTTGCGTCTGTGGCACAGCGGTAGAATGCTCGCCAACCACGCCTTACGTGGTCCACCGTTCGATCCACGGCCGACTCACTTATTTACCTCGCTGAGTCAGTAATTGTACTGATGAGGAGGGAAGGTTGCTCATAAGGCTAGCAACCCATCCCGTAAAAATAAACACCACTGCTATAAAAGCTTCAGGCCTCTAGCCTGAAGCCTTATGTTCCACTGGGAAGGTGAAGGAGTAAAAAAAAGATGGCTGGAGTCAATTGACCACGGGAAGCCTTGAAGGTAGATTTCGTGCTAGTTGGCAGTCATCAGTCCCTTCTGAGATTCGAATCAGCGTTATCCAGTGAGTGCTGCAGTCAGAGACGTCACCACCACTCTAGGACTTTATTGATTATTTTGTCTGGACACTAGTAACTAGTGTGATTTGTCTAGTCCTTTCTTTGGTGCAAACCGTAAAAGGTGAACAAGTGATAAGCACATTAAATCCTGTTGACCTTAAAGAATATCCTCTAAAGGGCCAAAACTATTAAAGAATGCTTCCAAAGGTGATTAGTTTGAATTCTTTAGAGAATCAAATATTCTCCACTCCAAGTATGTATCCTTGTGCAATATAATGATATAAATTTTCCAGACAGTTTGAAACTACCCAAGATAGATATTCTAATGTATATGAATTAAGCACATTCTGTCAAACATTTTTTGTGTAGAGAAAATGAATATCAATATACAATATGATCACTCAATCATGAAAAAAAGCATAGATCAACAATGTATACTCTTATGTATATTCATGTTCAGATCTCTTGTGTATATATATATATATGAAGACGTATGTGTTTTTAGTCCTGAAAAACAGCAAACATAACTTCAAATTGAAGTATATGCTGAAGATGTCACCCAGTAGGGTGATGAAAGCTTCGCAAACTAACCATCCAGCTCAGAGAACAAAACCACATCAAAATCATCCACCTGAGCTACAAATCTCCTCTATCATATGTATAACTAAGTTCACATAACCATCTGTTAAGTAAGCAAATACAAATATTTAATACCATAGCAAAATTTCATCAGAAAATAGACTCAATTATAAAATGATTAAAAAAGACTGTGACAGTTTATTACTAATACAGTAGCTAATAAAAAATATTTTACTTTGAGTTATTTAATAAGCCTAAACAGATGGTATTTTCAATAAAATAAAATAAAAATTAAGTGATGAAAAGAATCGCTATTGATGAATCCACTTCAGTTAGCTAGCTTATAAATGATCAGATTAAAAGTGTTTAAGTAATGATTTGTAGTTAGTTAGTTAGTGAAATCAAGACACCCCGTGCAGATTTCAACTGATATAAACTGTAAAAGTTAAACCGGAATAGAAAAATACAAGTTTATTCGTGATATCACTTTTGAATGTCATTGTTATCCATTAAGGTAACTCTAAAATTCCGTACAAGTTCATTTACAAACAATTGTCATTAGAATAATACTAACACCTTAGTGTGTACATGTATTAGTTATGGTACGTGATATTAACAAGGAACAAGGTGAAGCACAGCATTATCCAACTAAGAGAAAAAACCGACTAAATGAACAGGAAAGGGTAAGCATTAATAACGAAATGTATCATCACTCGATTCCTGGTCGCTCTAAGAAGCTGACATTAATCTTGATAAAAAGATCAGCAGTTTCAAACTTTAAGAAACAGTTACAGTCTGACCCTATTTCAATGAGTATCTGATAAATTTATCTAGTACATATCATAGCCGCCTAAAAGTTCATCATCTGATTCATCCTGTTCACATCTCTGAGACCGGAACCAAGCACTTATCGTCTCAAAAGTTAAAAGATTACCTAATGAACTACAGGGTTAGATTCAAATCTCAGTGGGAATATTATCACTCACTGAAGATACAGGTATATCCAGCTGAAAAGCCGCGAATACAATGAATTGAACTCTACTGCCAGCTACCATCAATGAAGTAACATAATGTTAACTTTGAAGACATCACTGAGACATCCATGCTAATAGGCAATATGTCTACATAGACTTGATAATTTCAGTCCCATAAAATCAGTCAAAGATAAATTCACGAATAATAATTTTAATAAATAAGGTGACACTAAAAAGGCGGAAATATCTGTGTAAGTATTTAACTAACGAATGAACACAATTAATAACTTCATTTCATAACTTATTCAATTCAGGACATGAATGATCTCATTTATACTGAGGAAATAATTTTTATTTTTATTTATTTTTGATTACAGTTTGATTCCGCACAGCAATTTTTGTACAAGTATGGAATTTTCAGCGTGGATATCGGTAGCCCAAGTTTCGCAGGCCGACCATAGTTATCAGGTGTACGTCGGCGTGGGCTTGAACCCCGGACCATGTGCATGGTCGGCGAGAGTCCTAACCACTGTGCCACCGACACATTTTCAGTTTAAATATAAACGAAGAGTGAATGTGAATCCTTTACAGTGAAAAATTCAATATATATATATGTATATATGTTTTATATTACTGCTTGGATAGATAGCATAAAAATAATTCACTTTGACAATAATGAAGGTAAATTATAAATTAAACTATAGTAAAAGTATTAAAATAATTTACCTAACAAGAAAAATATACCCTTTTTAAGTTTGTAGGCTGAACATAACTGCAGAAACACGAAAGAAATGAAGACTCATTGGTACAAAATGTAGTCTGATTAGATAATGAAAACGCATGAAATACATTCCGTTAGATTTGTAAAACGTGTCACTATGAAGTAATTGAGTCTTGTTGAATGATAATATCTTCATTGAAACTCAAGGTTAGTCACCATCATTTTATGCATTCTTAATTGTAACCAGTATCAGAAATATACGTAAGATATCAATACTCCATAACAAAATTATTTCACAAGATTTCATTATGAGCTGACATCAGTTAGAGAACCATTAGAAAACTTATAGGGAGTACTGGAAAGCTGTTTCGTTTTAGTCTAGGACGCATCCACTACATGTGGTTTGAAACTAGGACCTTCTGGTAACCGGGTGGGCTAACTCGTATACCATTAAGCCACTGTGACCGGATCCAGTGGCTAGCTCATGAATTCAAACTTCTGTCAATTCACAAAATTCATTCTATACAAATGAAGAAATGCATATTAACTGACCGACTAAAGCAAAAAAATATATGGGTGTTGTTATTGTGCTTGTTGGGGATTAGTAGTCCAAGGTATGTTTCATATCATTTGAGACTCGTCAACTGGTTTAAATTTCATGTTCGTGTGCAAATAAGAAACTCAGTCTTGACGGAAACCTAACAAACATCATTCCTAAAATAAAAAATTACGGTAGTGAATCCCAAAAGAACCCGTCTCCTGAACAATGAGCAGGACTATAAATTAAAACGAAATACACATCCTGCAATCTACTGCAAACCACTACCAAGCAGAGTGTGATTAAAACGAAACTAAATTCAACATTGAAGCATTCATTATAATGGTCTTTAAACACACCAAAAACGACGCTAATCAGTTTAGTCCAAAAATTATATATATTCGACAGAAAACCACAACCACCAAATCGAAAACAGAATCCCAGATGTAATCGAATTTTCGATTTTCCCGTCGGTTGATTGGACCGAAGTGCTCGGTGTCAGGTTGACATGTCTGTTGGCTACTTGTGCAGATGCTTCGATGATGTCTGGGCATTTAATTAGTATTTAATTGGTGGATGGTGACTAGCAGTGGAGTCCAGGATGCACATTTCGTCCTATCCTGGACTCGTCAGCTGGATGTACCTGCATTTCTCAGTGGGTGATGATGTTCCCACTGAGGTTCAAACCCGGTGCCCATTTAGCGACTGCTAGTCCCCATCCACCAATTAAATACTAATTAAGTGCCCAGACATCGTCGAAGCATCTGCACAAAAGGGCCAACAGACATGTCAACCTGAGACCGAGCACTTCGGTGCAATCAATCAATCGACGGGAAAATCGAAAATTCAATTAAATAACTAATATGACCCGTTGCACGAGAAGTGGCTCTCGTGGCCCGAGCGGTCCAGTGGATAACGCTTTGGCGTTTGAAACTATGGGCACTAGGTTCGAGCCTCGGTGGGAACATCACCATTCACTGGGGAATACATCCATCTAGCAGACGAGTCCCAAGTAGGACGAAATGAGCATCCTGTCTGGATTCCACTGCTAGTCACCATCCATCAATTAAACAAAAATTCCAGATGAATTCATTTTAAATTCTGCTTTACAAAATATCTTTTCAAATAGATTAATTCGCTGGTTTCAATCATTTTTATAGCGCTTTGTAATCATTATTTAAACAGAAATTAATTAATTAATAGAAGGAGAGAAAATCTAAAACTGTCATGCCGCTTTTATTGCCATTTCATTTCACAATTAACAAGATATAAACAGAGACAGCAGAGAGTTGCGAGGGGGGGGCGAGGAAGGAGACAATAGCCTAGCCAATTTTATACACTGTGAAAAATGAATGGTCATCCGATATGTGTTGCTAGGTGACACAAACTGGAATTGAAACCCAACTAACATATAGCAAACCTGTAGTCGGCTAGATGACTGAGACAGTATACTGAAATCAGCGGGAGACCTTAAAGGCGAATCTAACTCTCTGATGGAAAAGGAGAGAGAGTGAGAGAGGGATTTCTCTTGAAGTTTTTTGACAACAACTATGCAACCTGTTGATTCTTCTATACCCTTGAATACTCTATCGTTAAAGTTAGATAGAATGAATGAAGACCAACGGGATAGTTGAAAATTATGATAAGCCATTTATGTTTTCCGGTAAATAGGAAATCAATATAAATAAATAATCAACTTCTTTAATTCATTCATCTATCAGTTTGTAATTATTCAGTATCTAAGCTGCATTTGACATCTAATTCATTGTGATGCTATGGTGGGGAGGGAGTGGTAAATTCATCATTTTCTCCTGTCCACTAATTTTCATCAACACTACAACTGAATTTAATACAAACAAAAGTTTCTAGAACATTCCTACTCCCACCCCCCTCCCTACCCATAATCTCGAACAAACAACCATCCACCCACTCACCCACGCATCCCCCCATTATTTTTCACTATATCCCGAAAAATGGAAAGAAATCGATACAAGAAAAAAAACCAGTAAACGTGAATTCGGTCATACACTTCAGTGAATTTATGCATTATACTGAGCCAGTTCCCCTAAGGCTAAAATTATAATAATAATGTATATTCTATTAAACCCTTTTATAACTAGGACAACAGGCAGTCCACACGCCCACGCACGCACACACACTTGCAGCTGATTCCCAAATTCACAAGGCACATATATACCAATATAAACGCATTTAACACAACATGTAGATTTAGATGATATGCGCATGACTCATCGAGTTATCATCGAAAATAGTTTAAATGACAATTAATCTAGAGCAAAATTTGAATATGAAAAAAAAAAGAAATTCAATAATCTTGTTCATTGAACCATTGATAATTTATTCACATTTGTCTTAAAGATAAAGACTAATTTTAAAAGGTTTATCTCCTGTACGATTGATGATGGTCTTTCTTGTCTGCATATATTAAGAAAGTTAATCAACCATTGTATCTTCATGATAATCTTATAAGTGATGAATATATCAACAGAATGATATGTATGATATGCATTTCAACTTATCTGAAACACATCAACTGAATAGGCCAGATAGGCTGAGGACAAAACTATCTGAAATTTTAGAGCAGTTATAGTTCATTTCATATTAATTTGTTTATTAGGTATATAACACAGTGAAACAGCATTATTATTTATTGGATGATAAAGTTTCAAACACAATTTATTGTTGTTTTTACTGACGTTTCGCCGTTTAATGCTCCTAATGACTTTATCAAAGTATTATTATTATTATTAAACTAGAATTAATACTCTTTATTCTTTTCTATTTGTCTTAGGGGGAAATAGAATTTTCTGTATGCCCTGCATAGGTGTTAAATCATTCCTGTTACACGTATTTTCAGTTGATTCGATAAATAAAGCTCCCGTTACCGATCTCTCCCTCCATCTTGTTACATTAGATTTTAAAACTGTCATCTTATCCCATCCTATTGTATGGTTGGGTTGTGTTTAGTTGCATGTAGTGCTATAGCTGAACTACTCTCCAGATTTCTTATCTTATTCGGGTCAACTAATCTAGATTTTGCTAGGTTTTTATGCTCCACTGGTCTGATTGGCCTGTGTGTTTGACCTGACAGTCATTGCAGGGTATTAGATAAACTAAATTGTTTTATTTTAAAGGCTCCACGGGATCCTTTAACCGACAAAGCTTGTTTCTAATTGAGTTTGTGGGGTTTTTTTCCTTCGAGTTCCCTTGTGGGACATAGGGCTTCAAGCTGGTGGCTTGGAGTTTCTGTAGCAGTGTTTATTTTTATAGGATGGAGTTGCTAGCCTCATGCCCAACCTTCCCTCCTTACCAGCATTATTTCTGGTTTAGCGGGGGATCGAACCCCGGACCATGTGCATAGTCGGCGAGCGTTCTAACAGTTGTGCCACCGACGCACAGTTTGTGAGTTTGAATGCTACTTTCATCCCTGCCTTGTTAAGAAATCTGCGTAAGGTTCCCAAGGTTCCTTCCCTGTATGGAATTATTACTAATGATTTAAATTCCTTATTGTTGGTATTGTCTTGCGCAAGTTTGACATGCATGTCGTCACTAATATTACTATTATTATCACCACTATCACTCGTAGTATTTATTTTATTCTTACATTTCCCTACCCACTTCCTGATTAATTTATCAAGGCAATTATTAAGTTTCAAAGCTTCGCTTATACGCCTCACTTCCTGTCTTAGATTTTCCTTGGAACCACCCAAGTTTTGTGCCCTATTACTTAAACATTTCACCAATCCTATTTTTACTGACCTAGGGTGTGATATATATATATATATATATATATATATATATATATATATACAGCAAAGTGCGTAGGTGGCCAGCGGTAGAATGCTCGTCAACCACGCCTCATATGGTTCGCGATTCGATCCCCCGACGATGCACTTTTCTGCCTCACTAAATAATAATAATAATTTGCTTTATTCCAAAACAGTACTTATGATGCATAATGGAATTCTCAGCATTTTACTACAGTATTGCATCCAGTTAGTACATTATCAATAAATAAAATTCTACATAGATTAAGGTAATCTCAGTTCATTATGACAACAACATATTGGCATGTTGGTAGCAAAGCCAAAATTGAACAGAGTGTTTGAAGGTGTTAGAAACCCAGTAATAGGACTGGTAAACAGGGAAGGTTGGACATGAGTCTAGCAACCGCACCCCGTAAAAGAATAAACACCACTGCTACCGACACTTCAAGTCTCTAGCATGAAGCCCTATGCTCCATTGGGAATGTAAGCGTATATATATATATATATATATATATATATATATATATGTAACAAATGATACTCGATATTCGAATTATAATCCCCTAGGTGAATAAAAACAGGTGTAAATACACTATCTGAACAAAAATTGTCAACTGAAGATGAAGGGAAGCAGCTAATTCATCAAATATGACAGATAGACAGACAGACAAAACTCACCATGATGATTTTCTTCTGTTTTCTTCATCATATCATTATAAGAAGTAGTATTACCAGGGTGTAAATGACTTTTCTCCGACTTACAAAATTCCTTTGGCACTAATAAGGTGTACGGAATCAATGAATGCGTTGTTGATAATCCTTTTAGTATACTCACACATAACTGATCAATTGACAGTGTTAAGAGCTCTGGATAGGCGACAAATTCATGTTGATGCTAAAGAATAAAGTAAGAATATACACGGAAAATGACACAATTAAGTATATATTCAACAAGTGACACACATTATAATGATATAAAAACATGAGTTTCTGGCACTATTCTACCTCAGAGTTATGCTGACAACGCATTATGTTGTGGGATGTTTTCAGTGTGAATACACCATCAGTCACTGGAATGTAAAGTACACAGAACTGATGAAGTGAAAATAAGGCGACAAACACATTGTGGATTGCACTGCTAGTCACCATGAGCAAGGATTCTTTTTTTTCTTATAGCTTGATTCCACACCGTATTATCGGTACAAGTATGGAATTTTCAGCATGTGACATCAGTAGCCCAAATTTTGCAGGTCGACAATTGATATCAGGTGTGCGTCGGTCGGAAATCAAACTTCAGACCATGTGCATAGTCGGCAAGAGTTATGACCGCTGTGCCACCCACGCACACATCTAGGAATATGTAGATGACATGTAACAACTACTTGTCTAAGAACACTTGTAATGGGATAATAGTAGTATATGCCACTTTTACTCAAATAATGAGTACATTTGTATAATTAATGAATTTTCTAGAATTTCTTTTAAATTCCTATTAACTGCATATTCTTTAAAAACATAGTATATCTTGACTAAATATTATGCAATTCCGTTTCTTTGTTCATGATGCTAAAGGTATAACTGACTGTAGGGTAGATACCACGTCTAATCAATTAAGAAACTATTAAGAAACATCTGCAAATACTAAATATATAAATATTTCATCCCCTTGAAGACTCTTCAACAGTCCACACTGAACCTCATTTGTACACTAGAATTCACCTACCGGATCTCAGTCCAATGGCTAACAACTTGCAAAGACTATCGATTCTCCACATAGTATTGTCAATACTACATGTCATACACTGTCGAACTAATGTGTTCATATTTGATTCAGTGACCGAAGCAAACAAGACTTCTTGTTTTTTAAGGAAAAATTCTAAAAATCTCTCCCGAATCTAGCTGAAAAATCTTTCCTCAGGTATGACCGACTTTTGTCCATTCGTGAAACGTAAATCAGAAGGAATAATATAAACAAATAACTAAGCCATAGAGAATACTCAATTTCATTTTCAAGTATTAAACTGCAGAAGTCTGATTGCGTTCAGGTTTAATCACAGAGTGATATCATTTAAAGAACCACTGGAAACTAGGGAGTACTGCACAACTATTCCCTTCTAGTTTGCAACTGTTCAGCAGTTCGTATCCATTACCCAGCCGGGAATCGAATCCAGTACCTTGAGATTATGAGGCTAATCTACTGATCATTCATTCATTGTGAGGGGGGGGGGGACTCTAATGACCTGTGAATTCTAACTTCTGTCAATTCACTCTCTAGAAACTGACTACACGATGAAGTTGTCTGGAATGACCGAGAAGGTTCACCAGGTCGCTGGCTGGTGGCCATTTAGCAAAATGACACAAGTTAAAATTCTTGGGTCATTGAATTCTGTCCCAGTGACTGAATGGACAACGGAACCATCTGGTAACCTGAAAGTCCTGGGTTCAACCCCTGGTGGAGTCATGGTTACATACTGTTGAAGAATTCTAAACGAGGACGAAGTAGGTGTTCAGTGCTTTTGTAAATGACGTCAATCCTCTATTTAAATATAGAAAACAAAAAGTGTCCTGTAAGGATTCTGTTTTAGAATATAATCCAGGTAAACAGTAGTGTAGAGACCACCCTCATAATCTATCTCTGTGTGGATTGTATGATTCATAACTAAACTGACTAAAGGGAAATCCAAATCAACCATGTGTGTGTGTGTGTGTGTAAAATAACCAACTACACTGCACTTTCAACGATGCATTGGATTGTCAATCAAATCCCATATAACACTGCAATATAAGTATAAAATATTTTCAAGTACTGGTTTTGTAGGGATCTCGTTTGATTGATTAGAGGATTTCATCATAAGCTGACATCGGTGATAGAACCATTGGAACACATGTAAAGAGTACTGGACAGCTGTCTCACCAATCTACTTTGGGACTCTTCATCAGTATGCACCCACCACAGGAGGCTCAAACCCACGACCTTCTAGTTACAAGGCTAGCGAGCTCGCAGACCATTAAGCCAGTGCATGATTGCCAACTTTTACCAATTCATGATATAGCCCGATCTCTCCAGAGTGTCTTCTTCTATGAGTTGCTGCCTCACATTAGTCGCGCTATATCATGGATTGGAAGAAGTTAGAATACATTGGCCATTGGATCGGGTCCTATGGCTTAATGGTCTGTGAGCCTGCTAACCTTGTAATCAGAAAGTCCTGGTTTCGAACCTCCTGTGGTAGGTGCGTACTGATGAAGAGTTACAAAGCAGGCTGACGAAACAGCTGTCCAGTACACCTAAATAAATTATTTCTCAACATGTAATTAATATTCAATGTCAACACATTTGGTCAACACATTTCAATGCTTAAAGAAATCTGAATTCTTATTATTTTCTGTATTCATCATTATTTATTTAAACAACTCTGCGTTCATTTATATTTGTTATCGGGATACAATTTCCAAAAGTATACTAAGAACATAGAATTATCTCTTGTTTATTATTATTAACTAAACGAATGTACCATTTGCTTATCATATAAATGTTGGCATAATTTCCTCACCAGAGCGACAAATAGACACGTATATTATACACACATATATACCAGCCACGTTTGATTATATATATATCGATTTTTTTGAATTTATAAGGCTACAAGGGAATTCAAGAGAAACAAATTAAACTTTTTCTGTATCTATAAGACATCCGAAAATGCTTAAAGTCAAAAATAGAAGGAAAGGTTTTCTAATGAAAACAATTATCATCCCAGCTTTAGAAAACAAAGAGTGAGAGAGAGAGAGTAAGATGAAGGTGGGATATGATAGAAATAAAGAGAGAAGAGAGAGAGGGGGAGGAGAGAGAAGAAACGAAAAGGAGGCGGATTAAATGTGGGCGGGAGGGGGGGCGGGAATATATTTTTTTCTTCTACTTAATGATGATAATGAAAATTGATTAAGTTAGGAAGTATAAGTAGAAATGATTAACTTCCGGAAATCTGATCTACATAATCTAAATAAGAGGGGATAAATTTGTTTTTAAAAAGAATACCTGCATGTATTCATTGTTATGTTACTCATTGAATGTAACTGGTGCAAAAAAACAACTCGACTTTCTTTGTCATCTAACTGAAATCTCTGAGTAAAAAGCAAATAGAACATCTAAGATGAATAGGGAGAAGCAATCAGTGGGTACTTGCTAACCGATGAAAATGTGACTCGTAAGACTGACCGCTTACTTGACTTTCAGTCAATAACGCCGGGGTTCGAACTCCATACTACCTGTATACATTAATAATTATTTATTATTATTATTATATCCTTTAGTTCCTAGAGGAACATACGGCGTCAGCCGCACGTCTCCATTGCCTTCTGTTTTCTGCCAACCTTTTCACCCCGCTCCAGGCCTATCAACATGCTTTCATCTCCTCCTCGCATGACTTCCTCCAAGTCACCCTCACACTGACGACCAACTCGCCGCCTCCCTTTCGAGTTCCACTCGAGCAATGGCTTGTCTAGTGATGTCACTCGATGGTTTCTTCAGAGTATGGCCAATCCATTTCCGTTTCTTCCTGCTTGTTTGTTTCACAATCGGTTCCTGGTTGGTTTGCTCATCTCCGGAGATCCCTGTTGCTGATCTTTTCTGGCCAGCCATCTGATCTTGAGTATTGAGCGAAGAAAACTGTTGATGAAGGTCTGAAGTTTGTTGGAGATGCTCTTTATGACTCGCCAAGTCTCTGATCCGTATAGTAAATAGCACTGACTTTACATTGGAGTTGAAAATCCGGATCTTATTTTTGATGCTGAGTGCTGTTGACCTCCACACAGATTTGAGAGTAATGGAAGTTTGTCTTGCTTTTCTGATTCTGGCTTTGATATCCTCGTCATTTCTGTCTGCCTGTAGTTGAAACGATGCTTCCCAGGTAGGTGGAGGCTGTTTCTTTCAGGTTTCACATAATATAAATTTAGCTCACTACATTTTACATGGAAAGTGTGATCTCGGTGGTTGAGTCGCAACGTTGAAATGAAATTCAATCAATCAGTGAGTCATAAGCACAGTTTACGAGATAGTATTTCTGCCTGGATCACCAGATTTTTTCAAATAGACTTTGAGGTCAAGTTTGTAACTAACAGTCTGAATATGATGCATCTAGAAACACAGTTTAACACCCCCAGTGACTAATCTTGTTCACCTTAAAACTGCCAGTGGAATCTCACAATAAATCACTGTATCAGATATTACAAAATCAATTCTGATAGGTAGTTAAGAGGGTGGGAAAATATTTAGACTTCTCTCATGCATCGAATCGACCGCTGAGACATTGAAATGTTGGAATACACAATACTCACTAAGGATGAACTATTTTACAATCAAACAGGTGTAAGCAAATCTCAAGGTAGTCTTCCTCACCTTTCTATTTTTCATAATACATAGATGAAATACTTCATTCAATTCATAGGATATTTACAAGACAGAAATTCTGTCCAGCAATAATTCAAATTGTTAGCCATCTCACCGAATGGTCATTCTTGAATTTTGTTTCATCCACCGATGAAGTCCACTGGCGGTCATTCCTTGTGCTACGTTCTATCGAGATTATTCGGAAACCCACGCGGTTATATCCTAAGGGAAGGGACTGTGTAGTGTACTACATTTTCATAAATATTTCCATACATTCCCCTTCATCTTAGAAATCAATGCAGAACTGCTCAGTCAGCGAATATATTCCATCAAATTGTTATGCAGCTCAGTGTAGGGATTTCAACATGGGACTGTCAGTAGGAAAAGTGTTTCGTGTGTGTCTGTGTGTACATTTGTTTGAGTCTTGGCGACAGAATTTTACCCCACTTTGTTGGAAATATTCTCTTCATTGTCAGGTCTCCCTTACACTTGTCTTTCGGTTAACTGAT